CACTACCTCTTTATATTGGCCACCTTGGCGGTCTACACCACCGTCTTCCCCACCGGCAACACTACACCGTACTGTATATCTCACTCGCCCCGCTGTCCCTCCTCAACAAGTACATGGTCCGTTGGATGCGAACGATATTGACCCGATGGATATGTCGGATTCAAGTGTGTAATATACCACATTCTTTGTCGGCGGAAAAAAGACCTGTGATTCATCGTCTCTTTGTGTGACCATTTACTAGGTACACCGTTTCTCTTTTATTTCTAACACTTTGTGCTTGTTCCTGTGGCTATTCCAACCCATTTTGCAGCTTGGGCTTTGCGCTTTATCCTCGATACTTCACATTCGACGCAATGGCTCGTTCTTCTCGACCCAATCCATATCGCGCCACATCTACGATTGAGACACCGCTTGGTACACGAACCGTTGGGTGGATTGCTGGACATCGAGGCCTCCCTGGTGATGTGAACCCTCCTCCAAACAGACCTGTCCTTATCTTGGTTGACTTCTCTCCCTTACAGGCATTGACTCACCGAAGCGAACCTGACCGTGAACACTACATGGCTCTGGTGAACTCCAATTTTAGACATGTCAGTGGCTTTGAACTTGCAGCTTTGTTTACCTGGTCACGTCAGATGGAACCAGTTGAAGCCGGCCTCATCCCAATTGCCGAACTCCGCTTTTGTATCTCCAAAAGATTGAGGTCCCAATGGGACATCCAAATTGATCCCTCGAACCTGGAGTTTCGCTTTTGCGACTTGGACGGTGATACATTCCAAGTTTCCAATGATATGACGGTCTTGCAGCTTTTGGAGGCATACCGACCTGAGTGGCGACTTCGGCAGTACAATTCCCGCGAATCCTCTTTCCTCATCCCGGGTACCAGACAGCCTTTCGTACTACGCTTGAAATGCTACAAAATTAGCTCCGGTGTGATCCTGCCCTGATGCACTAGCCGGCCAAAAAAGACCATGCTACAGGGTTTTCAATTCCTCCTTGACACCCCACTAACACAAAGGATTTTTCGATTTCTATTTTATTTGACTTGGAGCTGTGGCTTCTCCGTCGCAACTGACCCACTTGATTGAGGACTGGATTTCACTTTTTTCATTTTTGTGAATATTATCAATTTCGGGATTGGCTTTCTTCTGCAATTCTTGATGCTTCAGCCGTTGTTGCACTATTTCTCGTATTTGTGACAGTTTCACCCATGGAACACAAACGAGACGCGACCGTGGCGGGCTTGTCTTGGCCTGCGAACTCTACTCGTGGACTCGCTCCTACCGACCCAGTTCAAGTACCAGACGCCTCGACTTCTGCACTATGTCACTCAGGAGCTCCCGACACTACGACCAACCCTACTCCGGCACCTTTGGTAACTGACAGTACGGCACCTGCTACGGGTACACTGGCCCATTCTGATACATATTCAGGACCAGCACCTCCTGGCGTTCCATTTCCGACAGACTCAAGTTCTACACACAACTACTTCCATCGTGCTCAGTTCTCTTCTCGCGTGGTTCACCAGATCCAATTCAAGGTCATTACCCACTCCAACAACACCAGGGAGCTATTCATTGAAGAAATTCCTTTGTTAGGGCATTCCCGATGTCGTGACCCTGAACACTATTTCTATGGTCTCTCCGGCAACTGGGAGTGGTCCCTGCGCACAGCGGACTATTGGCGACATCATTTTGAGATTCCCCTTGTACATGGACACCATCCTTTTCACAATGTGCCCATTGAGACGACATCTCCTGGAGATGAACCAAGGCTGACCACCCGGATCCATGAATTAGCCAAAGATCTATCTGACACCTTGAAGGCTGCTACGGCATCGGGGGAATTCGATCAGACTTGGGCGATGGTTGAACGCATGAGCTTCCACGATGCTATGGAAGTCCTTCTACAAGCTCCGAATTCCTCTTCTGACTGAAGTGACCGCCCTTTTGTACATTAGGTTATTACAGGTTCACTTTCACTGGTGTCTTGCCGATTCCGCCAGCGAAGTTCTTCCAAAAAACCGACCTCGCTACATGCGAGGTGTGTGTGTGTACCATCTGAACAGATGTAAAACTTCTGATTGGTTTTCACTAATTTGCAGGGGGCACCTGGAGCATGGATAGGTCAGGTGCCAACGAAGACCCCTATCCAATGCTTGTGATATCACGGCTGATCACCGTGACGTACCTGCCAATTTACTGAAATGGGAAGAGGCTCAACCCAAGAACCTCCACGTCGTCCATTTGAAATTTCAATTTACTGCACTGTTGACGCAATCTGGAATCAATTTTGACATTTACATGCATCAGAACCTTCCTCAGATTTTCGCCGAAACCATATCGCCGACAGTATTATGTTTTTTGACTTATTTTCGCCGAGATCCTGTCGCCGACGAACTATGGGTTATTTTGGGAAACAATCGCCGAAATATTATTTTGGATTTCAACATGCTGGTCAAAACTCTATGGAATCTGGTTATGACTACGTTTGACAATTTCGGATGCCCTACATCGTTTGCGAGAAGTACCTCACGTGGCTCTTTTATTCATCTAATAATCTAGGCTGGTTTGCATGTTTCAGGATTCAGTTCCTGCCGGATCATATAATGATCCATTCTTGTCTAGTGTGTGGAACATCTGAATAGATGTAAAACCTCTGCTTAAGCAGGGGGTGGATGCATGGTCTGGCAGTCATCCACCAACGAAGACACTGCCTTTCCATGGTGATATGACGAAGGGACGCCTTTGTCACGTACCTGCTTCATTTTCGGACATGGGGTGTGGCCAACCCAAGAACCACCATGCCGTTTCCAAATATCTTGCTTTCAAATTTCTCGATTTGCACGGTTTTCGCCATCTGTCAACTTATTTCATCTAGCACTGGACATGGCGATGGTACCTTTTCAATTTTTCTCGGGTCTCTTCACCGACCCATTCCTGTCAGGTGCAATTGGATTGTTCTTTGCACGTAAGATGCATTCCACATCAGAATTCGCAAAGATTGTTCTGAGCAAGTGTGTGATTCATGCTGGATTCGTCACGGTGGCATGAGCCCTTCGGGGAATACCTTTTCATGTAGGAGAGTGAATCCTCGACCTGATCTCTGAATTTACAATTTTCAACCTAGTAATTCGCCTAAGTAAAGTGAACCAGCTGGCCATTTTTCGGGTCTCACCTGTCGCCTGCCGATTTGTTAAACAGTGGGCCGCTGTATTGGGCTTCACCTTTTTCTCTTGATCCTCCGGCTTGATCTCTGAATTCACAGTTTCAATCTAAAAATTCGCTTACGGAAGTGAGACAGTTGGCCATTTTTTCAGGTCTCGCCTTTCACCTGTCGATGTGTTAAACAGCGGGCCGCAGTATTGGGCTTCACCTTTTACTCAACATGCATTTCCAGGTATCAGGACATGCTTGCAGGTATGGTGACCCTTCTTTTTATGGTCGTTGGTACGGTTGAAATGTGCACGTAATTCGGGGGTTGACGTAAGCTGTCCATGGGGTTGATCTGACCACCGAGGGCATTGAGCCTTATCACGATGCATGGATTGTGGATGCATCATTTCATTAACTAGTCCCCCATCAGTCCCCTATTTCATGCGTTCTCCTCTCTACAGGTAGGTTGGGCGCGTGCTTAGGTAGGCGTAGGTTTCGCTGTGGTAGGTTGGTTTAGGCGCTTCCGTCCTCCCCCCTCCGCTGGTCTTGTTCTTTGTCCGTCGGCCTCTTCTTTTCTTTTCCCTTGCCCTTTCAGGGTTTGCCCGCTGGGCCAGGTTTGCCTGTGTTGGTGTTTGCTCCTTCCCTCTTCTTTTGCGTTCCCCTCTTCGCGTCCTGGTTAAGTAACTTTCATCTCATTTTCATTTTCACCTCATCTTCATTTCCTTTCAATTTCATTTTCATCTCATTGTCCGGACCTTAATTTTCCCACCCTCCCGCGGGAGGGTGTGTTTGTGGAACATCTGAATAGATGTAAAACCTCTGCTTAAGCAGGGGGTGGATGCATGGTCTGGCAGTCATCCACCAACGAAGACACTGCCTTTCCATGGTGATATGACGAAGGGACGCCTTTGTCACGTACCGGCTTCTTTTTCGGACATGGGGTGTGGCCAACCCAAGAACCACCATGCCGTTTCCAAATAACTTGCTTTCAAATTTCTCGATTTGCACGGTGTTCGCAATCTGTCAACTTATTTCATCTAGCGCTGGACATGGCGATGGCACCTTTTCAATTTTTCTCGGGTCTCTTCACCGACCCACTCCTGTCAGGTGCATTTGGAGTGTTTTTGCACGTAAGATGCATTCCACATCAGAATTCGCAAAGATTGTTCTGAGCAAGTGTGTGTCCGTGGCAGATGAATCTAGAGCGACAAATTGACCTTCTCATCAGAGCGGATCATGCCCAGAATAATGCTCCCAGTCAGGAGAACATGTAAAAAAGAAGACAATACCTTTCTTTTGACCATTTTTTTTTGCCCTTTCTCTTTGTTGTTGTTTCGGTCATTTGCTTTCTTCGCTTTACTTGTATTGTGTTTTTCTGGTCGCAGATGATTGAGCAGTAGGTGTTTTGTTTCCCCGAATTGCTTTCAATCTACGGGAACACTTCCATTTTTTTAATAATTGATGGTTGAAAAACAGGGTTTCCCCTAGATTCTTTAGATATTCCCTTCAAGCAATCCAGTGATGTTTTTGTTTTCTGAAATAGGCTACCTCCAATTCCAATGGATTTCTGATCATTCTCCCCATGAAAATTGTCTAAAATGCAGATTATATATACCCCATATATATATATATATTTATTGTCAGGTACCAAAGAGAAAACAACAACTATAAATATTCTCATTAATTAACATCCCTGCTAATACTTATAATACTTCCATTGCAATTATCATTGTATCTTATAATTTTGGACATTTCTGAAGTCCCAGGTTTGACATATCCAGTAAATATGGATGGTTTATGGATATCCAAGGCACCCATAGATGAGGATACCATGAGAAGTCCCAGGTATGGTGGTTGGTGCTGGTCCCAATTTTGCTGGCCGTGTGCGGCCCGGAGAAATACCGCGCCTTCGTCAGGATGAACTTCAGCAGCCTGGGCGCGCAATCTCCTCCCTCGGGTCACCCGTTTAACGGGAAATCCATGGAAATCTCCATAGAAAATGGAAGTTTTAATGGGAACATCATAGAAAATATGGGACAATCACAGGACCTGAAAAGGTGCCGGCCATGTTTGGTCACACCGAAGGAGAAATATAAACTATTTCAGTCATGTTCAGACCATACTTCATTTGAAGATGGATCACGTATTCTTGCATGTTCCCGTTCATTTGTTGCAGTTTCAATGTTTCCAACCCAGCAGTATGTGGGAAACATGGGAAGCTGGGACTTGCTGACGAATCTGATGGTTATATCTAATATCTATAATGGATCTATAGTAGGTTTCTCCATGTTCCCAATTTGGTGACTCAGCCCGCGATATCCCTCAGCCCTGGTGACCGACAAGCTATGCTGGGTTCAGGTATATTCCTGCTGAACGAACACTTATTCAACTTGCCAATGGCATTTCTAAGCCATTGGCTCCTGCCCAGAAAATTGGTCTTCCTGGATTTTTGGGTCGCCACTGTGTTTGCCACAGGCTATTTGTTCCCTGGTGTTGACCGAAAACGGCGGATCCGGGGAATAATGGGGAATACACAATCCGCATTGTCAATGCCCGACAGCTCATATTCATTGAGGATTCCTAAGTCTGAGTGACTTATTCGAGTGAAAGAACCTTTTTAGAGCACCTCCTTTGTCGCTTCCCACCCTTTGTTTTGTGCAGACAGACTGGTGACTGCTGACTATGGCATACTATGGCATACTATGGCATACTATGGCATACTATGGCCTTTTTTTCATGTTTGTTTCTACCACCTTTGGATGGTACAATACTTCTATGGTAAGTGTAGCCCTTCGCTGCTTCGCCTCGCTGGGATCCCGGGATCAAAAAGTAGGGCCTTAGGCCAGTTTGGGCCACCATTGGGCCACGTTGAGCTATGTCGATCTTCTGTTCCTTGAGGCGAATGGTGCATGGTCCATGATGATAATGATGCGTGCCAGTCATGTAAAGAATTAATTACCAGTGTCACTCCGGTTTGCGCCAACACCATGCTGAAAAGGTTCTTTTACCTCTTTGTCTTAGACGCCAACGGTGCCCATTTCTACATCATCTTGTGGCTCGGTATGGAAGTTGTAAGGGCGCAGATCGGACATGATTAGACCCAAGGACAAGACTGTACAAAGTCCTAGCCATAGCCATTTCAGTATGAACATGTTTGAAGCATTGAAAGAATCGAACAATGAGGATTTGAGGGCCATGTTCGCCAGGGCAGCAGACAAAGGAAAAAACAAATGCATGGGTGGTATTTTCCCCATTCTAGTAGGGGATGGGACATGATTCGATGATATTCATAGTAAGAAATCACATTTTTTACATGTTACCCTCTGGTAAACTAACATAGCTATTGAAAATTGCCATTTATAGTGGAATTACCCATTGAAAATGGTGATTTTCCATTGTTATGTTAGTTTACCAGAGGGTAAACTGTTAAAACTATTTCCTCCTTGAGGCACACTACGTCAGACTGAAGAAGGGGAACGTACGAATCAGCGAAGCAGACCCACCGTTCGTTCAGCAGACTGTGCGGATGGTTCTTCCAGATCCACAGGAGTTAAATTAACATGTTAGATCATCTCAAGGAATCTGAAGAGCACAATATCAAGTGCATGGCATATCCACACATACATTATATATATATATAATGTCTATCTATTTCATATATCTATTTCACATATCTATGTCATATATCATGTAATTCCGGATGTCCATATATATATATATATATGTGTGTGTTTGTTTGTATGTGTATTTTATAACCAGTTCCAACCAGCTCTAGGTCCCCACGACCATGGTGGTGTATCTTTTCCTACACGGGCATTTTGTTGATCTACGTCCCTTGGCGGAAAACGAATTGGGTGGCTGGAGGTCACCCAACTTGGTTGAAGATGATTCCACTGCTGCTAAAAGGGATTTTAAGGAATATGATTAAACATGATGAAATATGATGGATCATGAAGACACATGATGAAATATGATGAAACATGATGAACTATGATGAAATATGATGAAATATGATGAAACATGATGAACTATGATGAAACATGATGAACTATGATGAAATATGATGAAATATGATGAAACATGATGAACTATGATGAAATATGATGAAATATGATGAAACATGATGAACTATGATGAAATATGATGAAATATGATGAAACATGATGAACTATGATGAAACATGATGAAATATGATGAAACATGATGAAATATGATGAAACATGATGAAACGATGAAATATGATGAAACATGATTAAATATGATGAAACATGATGAAACATGGTTTTATGGTATGTGGCAGAATCTGGCCCCTCCAAAGTGTAGCGTTTCATTTGTTATGGAACAGGTAGGTTAAAGAATCTAAGATGGTTAAGGAACAGGCTTGGCATCGGATCCGCCCAAGAATCGGGTTGTGGCGTGTGACATGGCGATGCTGCAGACTTGGTGCGTTTTGGCGCCTAGGCCGGACTCTTTTGGGCCTTTTCCTGAGATTCGGTCAATTTTGCAGGGACACTTGGGCCTGCTCGGTGACTGTTTGGCATGTGGTCCTGGCACATGGCATTGACAACTCATCAAACATCATGTCGAATTGCACATGGCATGTAATTTTGGAGAACCTTCAGACACTGCGGACCTGTAGGGTGGAGGGCAGGATCCCCTCCTTGTGGATATTTGACATATCAACAGTCATTGAGTGTTGATTGATAGAGGGGCCGTCCTCATTGATTAATAGATATAGTGATATACTATCCAATCTATCCATATAGGTAAGTGATGATACATGGTATCCAAGCTGGCCCATCCCCCATAGGACATCAACCATTGAGTGAGTGAAAACCATGACAATATTTCTTGAGGACGGCCAAGCAATGGGCCAAGTTTTGGTGCTCATGGACGCCCTGTTGAAACGGGGGCAGTGGAGGGAACGCTGTTTTTATGTGTTTTTCCATGTCCAGAAAATGCTTCTGAAAGCTGATTTTCGGCCGGACACACCGCTGGACACACCGCCGGTGTGTCCGAGATGGCCCGATGGTAAGATATGGATCCCGATGGCAAGAAAAAGTGTGCTGGACTCAGCAGACCCCCATGTTTGGTTGGATGTTTAACAAAACCGTGTCCTGCAAACATCGCACAATCTCCCACCCACCCTTAGGGCCTTGTGCAAGCAAAATTATTGAGATCCAATCAAAACCTGGTTTGTTCATTGCCAAGTGAAACTGCTGGATGGTAAGAATTGAAGAAGCTCGACCCTGCTTCAACAGTGCCCCATCCCTATCCAAGCTCTCCTTGCGGTTTCCAGCCTTGCAAGCTAGGACGGAGGCAAGTCTGACTTGAGTTCTCACTATGTCACTATGGCTGACTTGTTGGTGATCAATTTGTTGATTCGTAGTTTCACAGGTGACTCTTAAGTCCATCAAGTGGCGCACCTGCCTGAAAATCCATTTGCTTGAAATCTCAACCATAGCAAGTTGTGAGCAGAATTTGTTCTTCCACAATTCACACACCCACATTTTCATTTTCTGGGGTGTACCACATTAGAATGTGCTTGTCAAATTTGCCCGTTTGAATAGCCATTCGATCAAGAGCTATCAGGTGCATTGGCAGTGCTATGTTGGGTGCTTGGTACGCGGAGTGAATATATAAGCTAATCCTTCGTTGATTCTTGCATGACAACAGGAACTCTCCAGGTTTAGCGAATGAGTTGCGAATGCACGGTGCATTCGTTTGCAAAGCTTTCTTTCTGGTCCAACCAAAGCCGCCATCAGGCGTGTCTCACAGCTCATGATGAGAATGCAACAAAAAGAATACCAAAGGCAGGAAAGTCCTAAAATGTGCGAATGACTATCAATGAACGTTTACTTTTGGGGGGACAGTTTCCACCCTTGTCTTTTCCCATGACAGGGAGAAGATTATCCTCATTGACATTTTGTCTTGTGTGCGACGAGGTTGAAACTTTGTTAAACACATACTTGGTAACGTTTTGTGTAGATGATTTGAGCCGTCTCAACATGCCTCAAAAGTAACTTATGCAGTCAAGCCCACTGCTATGAAAGATCAGTGCAGTTGTTTTTTCAGATTTGTTTCAGTGGCACAGCTAACCCACAATGCGAACGTATCCAATCAACACACAGATAGACTTGCTGTCGTGGACTTTGTTCAGCTTGCTCTCTGGCCTCCCATGGCTTTACGAGTGGAAGAACGGTGGCTGCAAAATGATGTGCCGGATCCGGTCTCCCGGCATTGGTGAATTTATTGGTTACCCAAAGATATGTTGCAGAATGTTACAGATGCAGGGGCGTACAGCATAACTCCATTTCATGCTGCCAGGCTGCATGAAATTTGAGTTGCTGCATGGGCCAGAGGTGTGGTGAGACCACCATTGCGCCCATATTGCGCCCACATTGTCCCCAGATCCCCCCGGCAATCGAGTTGCTCGATCCTTGCATGGGGGATCATGGGGGGTGAATCCCCATGGCTTACTGCAGTTACATGCAGTTACTGTTACTGTAACTTCAAAGGCTGGATTTTTGATCAAAATCAGAAACAGGGGTCCGAGGGACCCATGAAGTTTCCTTCAACGTCCTAAGGTTTTTACCGGAATGGTGGAAGACTTCAAAAGCTTTGATGAAGTGATGAAGACTTGGAGCGAAAAGTTGGAACTCTTTGTGTGCCTGGGGCTGGTTGCTGCTGTTTTTGACGCGTTTGGTGAGTTACGGGAATGGATCAAACACCTTCGGGCCACAAACATAATCAAAAATCAGCATGCGCTCTGTCGGGGCCTTTATCCATCGAATTCAAGGCCAGTTGTTATTGATTCATATCGACAACCATCTCGCTTGTGTTTTGACCCTGGATTATTTTGGATATCTCCCACTGATATCAATTTTTGATCCATTGCCACAGGATCAAAGTGGCCATGGCTGGCCCCTAAACCACCTTTTCTTGGGGCGTGTGTCAACGGGAACCTCAGATTAAAACCTGCAGCAGTCATCGTTGAGCAACAGTACCCAAATAAACTGCCTAAGGGCTCACTGATCTGGGGTTGACACTACCAAGGAGTCCAAATGGGATCAAATGGGTCCATGCTTAAAGCTGAGGCATGGTGTCCATGAGCTAACCTCAGGCTGGGCGGTCCTTGTTGGCCCGGGGTTTTGAAAATTGGGTCCCTCCAAAATCCAGTGGATATCCAATGGCTTCTCAGAAGTTTCCCTATTAATTGAAGATATGGTGATATGGCAATGTTTGGGTATACCGGTATACCGGTATACCCCACCGTCAGACACACCCATTTGTCACGTTGTGGCCATGTCCCAGAAACAAAGTGTCACAAAGGGATCCAGTCGCCCCAGGGGACTGACAAGCTGGGCTGTTACCCTTAGCCAATTTTATGTTGGACACCACTGCAGCCACAGTGATCAGAGTCCTCTTTGCACCGTATTACCCAACCAGCCCTTTGTTGCCATGGGGGGAGCCGCATCCACAGCCGGAGCAGTTGCAGCTGGTGTGGGCAAGATGAAGGAAGGAGAATTGCAGCGTAGCAGCAGAGTTGAAGGTTGATATAATGAAGTTTCGGGGCCCCCCAATGGCAACCCCACAGTAGGGGATTACATAATATGTCCCGTTTCTTGGGTTGATAGGGGGTTCAATATCCCCCGCGAGAAGGCCTTTGGTTGGTGTGTGACCGTTTTTAGGGGGATAACCGTATTCATATGATGATCAACAAAACACGAACCACTAAAGCACCCACTCCTTTGATTGCCATCCACTGTGGTTGGCAGCCGCGGAACAACTGTTTTTGAATAGCTTCATAGTCACCAGAGACCTCAGGTTTCCAACCGTTTACTTTTCCAGCCGAGGCTTTCACTTCTGCAGCCATCATCATTTGAGTCCCAGATTCTTTTTGAGTGGTTTTATACAGGAGAATACAAGAGATCCAATCTTTGGCTAGAAACTTTGTGCCCCTCTGTGGATTTAATGATTTTCCCTTTCCTTTAGTGATTTGCATGGACGCAATATGGTTTCTCTCCTCCATTCTCTGACAGTGTGTGCCTTCCCATCTAGCCATATGTTATTCCCAAGGTGTAGCTAAACCGAGTAAGCACAAGTAATGTCAGCCCCGGATTCATAGACCCCTTGGCCCCTTGGCTTTTGAATTGGAGGATTACCATACATCAATAGCAAATCTTCATGGTGTTGGGGTGTTTACTCCCAATTCATCAACCAGAAAACCACGCGACCAGGAAGGAAGTTGTGAAGGCCTTGGACAAAAAGACCTTGGCGACGCTTCACAAGGTGGTGGTTGAGGTGGCGGATGGCAGCAAGGCCGAGAACGAAGCGGCCACCAAAAAGAAGATTGAGGCAGATCCAGAAATTGGGAAGAAGCTTGCCAAGGCACCTCAACCTGAAAAGTTTAGGTATAGGCTGGGTATAGGTATACGATGGTATCGGAGTATCGGTGTTTGCCAACGGTGTTAGAACCATTTTTGCCAATGGTGTCTACATTTTTGACTTGATCCTAGGAGGTTTTTGGACACTGGACATCTCCCCAATCCAAGGCTATTGAAGAGGCTACTCAAATGACACTTGGCACAGAGGGGCCAGTGGCAATCAGTGGGGTTTGGTGGAAATTCTGGGTAGCAACCTTTCGTTTGGATGTCTTTTGGAGCTGTTTGGTGTTGAGTAGGCGGCTTATCAACTTCGGTGAGCAGTTAGCAGTTAGTTCAGTCTAGGACAAGCAACCCAAAGATGGCAGCAAATATGTTTTGCTCGTGCTTCCTTGTGTCAATCTGAGTCAGCCCGATTTGATTCATTTTGCAGCATTAACCTTCAGGCCAATTTCAATGCTGAGAATCGAAAATAGAGAACACTTGCTTGTTCACGCAGTTTCAGTGATTCAAGATGATTCAAGATACAGTTTGGAACACGCCGGTTCCCAAATTTCATTAGCCAGGGGCCAGGATGGTCATTTCACCACTAGCAGCCTTTCTTCTCCACAGCTGATTGTTTTTTTAATGTTTTTTTTTAATATATTATATATATATATACAAAGGAACAATTTGCAGGGACCTCCAATATTTCAGGGGAAAACCATGGTTTCCTGTAGATTTTCCATACTTTCCCTTATATCAATCCACTGATATACGTATAAACCTGAGAAACTGATTCCCTACGTTGCCACGTCGCAGGAGGCGCGCTCCGTTCACTTGGACGGCAGAGTTTGTTCCGAATGTTCTCAACGAAACCCGGCAGCTCTCCCAATTGAAGGGACACACATAGAAGCCACATATTTTGGCGATAAGAACCACGGTTTTCCGTGGATTTTCCCTTGGATGATTGGAACCATGACTACCATTTCTGCAGGTGGCCATACAGGTGTGATGGGAGGATGTTGTGTCTCTCAAAGTGGGTATATGATGATCTATTTTGCTTTCATATGTATGATTTCATATCAGCAGTTGAGTCAGAAGCCACCATGGATTAAGGGTGATAGGGGACCAGCTTATGTTTTGCGGTTACCCTCTATTAATCACACGTTCCACCTTTCGCACCAAAATTAAGTGGTTCCTCGCCAGGTTAAAAGAATGGACGGTGTACATAAATATTCTAGAAGGACTCCATGAAAATTATGGAAATCCTCCCAGATTTCACCAGATTTAACTATTGCGACTGGGATTCCCGGTGTGAAATGTTTATCTAAGTTTTGTTAGACTGAGGAAACAACTATATAACCCTCTCATGTGTTTTCTAAAACTAATTTTAGGGGTTGCATTGTTCAAGAAATGTGTTTGGCAAAAGGAAAAACATCTCATAAATCTGGAGCATTCTTCCATTTTAGAAAGAGGCTGGACCTCACCAGCTCAGGAGGCTGGTTTGCGGGGCCATTGCCCAGACAGCGTCGATGGCAAGAGCTTGGTTTTGGATGATGTGTTCAAGGGTGAAGATGCCGAGAAATGGGAGACGGTGATGAAGGCTGGGTGATGTTCCCAGAAGTTTCAAACCGAAAAACCGAGGCTCATTGATCCCAAGATATCCCAAGAAGTGGTTCCAAGCCAGTTTCAGACCGGGGATCAGGGGCCGTTTTTCAAGGAAACAAAATAACAAAGTAGTCCTGACTATGGTGACAACTGTGAAGTTCAGTAGCGATGCCTGCAATCTTCAAAGCAACAAAGCGAACCCCTTCACAAGACAATCCCAGTCATTTTCAATACGTTTTTCTCAGTTTGATGTGTCTATTATATCCCTAGAGATATATGTTTATAAGTGTGAATACAGGCATTCAGATATATTTGGGCTATCAGTAGTAGTATGTTGCCCTCACCTCCTCTCAGCTTTTTTCCACGGCTAGGTGGTGGCTTTTCGTTGGCTGGGGGATCAAGTAACAGCGGAAAAAGCCTTCGATCCACCAGATGCAGTTTGTGAACATTATCCCATGAAGTGGGATGCTGGGACGATATATGATGTTTTACATGACTTATCCCAAAGATGTTTTTTCTTATTATATCATCATCATCATCATCATCAACAACAACAACAACAATATCATCATTGTCATTGTTTTTTTCTATATGATTGTTGTTTTATTAGTTGTCATTTTTTGAAACATATTATTATTGTTACAGTACTATTGTTATTATTACTGCTATCCCATATTTTTTGTGATAAACCAATATGGCTTGACCTGGGGTGACATGTTTCTTTTTTGTTTTTTGTTACTGTTTTTACTGAATCCCTGATTCTTTATTTTCCAAACCTCGGGAACTCCCAATTATTTGGGGGAATGTATCGTGGGATGCTGGCACTTGATGACTTGATCTTTGTGTATCGCTAGACTTCAATCCCCTTCTGACAAGCTAATTGAACCCCTCAAGCCTGACCTACCTAAAAGGACCTGATTTTTGAGGAGGTTTGAAAGTTTAGGGCTTAGGGTGTATAAAAACAGGTCATTGTGTTTTTTTTGTTTTTGTTGGTTTGTGAGTCGTAGTACGAGCACGCTAAGGGGCGCTTGGCACATCCATGTGCTCCATGCCCGTACACAACAATATGATTGTTGTTTGCTTGAATACACATGCATCACAGGGCACGATGGTTTGCTTCTTTGAAATTAATGAGTTTTGTGGTCGCTGCTCAATGGTTTTGGATCGGGAACGCCTGGCTTCTTCTGAGCTTCAAACATGTTTTCTTCACAGCCACCGGCAACTATCAATGTTCTTGTTGGATCCTGCGTTGTTCAGTTCACATTATACAATGCAGAGGGCTCAGATTCAGGTCTCGCAAGAGCTACGTCTCTCCAGGGGATCTGATTCAATACACGGTGCAGGGTCAGAAGGACACAATGAAAATTTCCATGAGTTATCATAACTTATATCATAAACAATATCATCATAGCTCATATCTCAGAAATTCAAACTGTGGTGAGAACTATGATCGTGATGAGCCAACCTAAAATATTCAACCATGCTTTCCAGGTTTTTCCTGGTGTGGTCCCATGCTTTTCGGGGAATGTGAAAAGCCAAGGAGCCGGCCAGGGTGAACCAGTTCTTGGCCAAGCTTTCTTTGCCGGAGTGGGGCACAGAGCCGAGATCTTGCAACAGATTTCAGTGATGGTGAAACCAGCTTTGGTAGATGAAACACAACGTAGATGAACCAGGAAACCAATTCAGCTACGCACCAAGAACACCCAGGAATTGATTGAAGGCGATTGTATGCAAAACTGTGTTTATACCATTGCTGAATCAAACAAGGTTAGGTAATGAGTTTTTGAGACGGGCGTTTAACTGCAGGCATTGATGGCAAGACTCTGGTGAAAATGCTTCAAGAAGGCCAGCGGTTTACAAAACTTCCAATTGCTGCGAGATGCGGCCAGGGATTGTCCAACCCATTAATTTCTTGATGATTTTGATTGTTTCATATTGTTTCCTCATGTTTCCCCCTGGGGAAACAATTTCTCCCTGTCCATTCCTGTCATGTCCGCTGCAGATCACTATTCGGAAGTGCACAAGGAGCAGTTGTCAAAAGGCCTCAAAGAGGAGACGGTTTTTTTCTTTAAAGATGTGGCCAAGCTCATGTAGTGAGATCTGGCCAAGCAAACTGTGTGACTGCCGCAGAATATTGATTGCGAGAAAATGATTGCAGCAAACTGTGCGTGCTGACCTATCTGTCCTTTTGCGGATAGTGCGAGAGTCGAATCACTGACATATGCCAGTCAAGTCAACACAACCCATATTCAACTGGCAATAGAGCAGTGTGGTATTAGGATGTATCAATGTATTAGGTTGTTGGTGATTGGTGACTCATCGCCATAATACGCAAGCTGCAATGCTGCCAAAGTGAAGATGATTTTACCCATGTTGAATCTTCCTGATGTTCCATGAATTTTCTGTAGCAATGCCTAACATCTCTGTGACTCAACAGGACACATCAAAAGTGCAGAGATTGTTTTGGAAAGCTCGCCCACAGGTGTTCAGAGCCTTTCGGAAGGCTTGGCCGAAGAGCTGAAACGACAGGATGGAGAGATGTTCTTTTCATTTTTTTTGGCGGGGGATTCTTCGTGAGAAGACAAGTGTATAATATAGTACGCACATGTATCATCATATATATATATACATTAACATACTGTGCTTGGATGGGCCGTGGAGTTTGTCAACGATGCAGGTTATCATTACCATCACAATCAATACCCACGCATCATACTGCCATTTGATCCATGTCCCCTTATATCTATACCACACCTCTGCATTCATCTTTTGGATGCGCATCACAGGTAAGGAGCCAGTCAATGACTTGGTTCATGGGGGTAGCCAATATGACTGACCAAACTATATCCAATATATATATATATATATACGTATATATATATATAAATATAATTACATATAATATATATTAGATTTAAAATGACAGTTCCCAACTACTCCTCCTCAATTCGTTCCATTCATAGTTTGTGTTTAACGGTTATGGCCTTTCGGCAAACACGGCCCCGCCAACTGTTGCAATTGTTGCTTCGCTCAGATCCTTAGTATTCGGACATTTTTTCTCCAAAACATTGATCATACCGTATCATAATATATATCATATACCTATAGAATGTTTACCTTTGGAATTCCAAAACTGCCTGGAATTTGGATCTATAATTGCTTAGTTATGGTTGGTCCCAATATCTTGGTAGGAAAGCTTGAGTTTACCCTTCGCGGTTTCGTGGTGAAATCCAAAGTTTTAGGCTCTTTGAGGGGCAAACCTTTGAGGGGCAATCCAAAAGAAAATGTGTGCTATGTTTTTTTCAAGTTTTTTGTGTGGTATTTCATGGCTTTATGAGGTTTTACTTGGTTTTCATGGTTTTGGCGTGTTTTGGCTAGCAGCTGACACAAAAAAATACTTTACTTCGAGTCATCCCCACCATGACATTTATACATTCTATCTGACATTTATACTTAAACAGGTAAAGGTAGTGTTGATCTTCCCTGTAATGGAGATACCCCATTGACCTTGACAATGATGAGCTCCCCGCTGCACCCGCCTTATCCCCTCCATTAAAGAAAACGAGAAAGGTCAACTTTGAGGCAGATGGAGGAGTTGAAGAGGTTGATGATGATAGTATGGAGGAACTTGCGGCACCATCTTTATTTACACCACCTACTACTAGCCCGGGCCAACCTACGGCGAATCAGGGAACACTTGACCCCGCCGTGGTGCAACTCCTCGCTGGAATGCTGCAAAAGACAGAAAACACACTGGTGGGAAAGATGGATCAAATGCAAGCAAGCCAACAAACAGTCCTTGAAACAGTGGACGCTCACACCGCACAGATCGCATCCATCGAGGCAAGATTGCAATTGATTGAAACCAAGCAAAGCCAACAAACCCCGCAAGACGTCTCTCAACTGCAACATGAAGTGAAGGAACTGACCGGCCAGATGCATCAACTCTCACGTGCCCGTGCCCCCTCGGCACCCCCGCACTCACAACACGGGGCTAACCCAGCTGAACCCCCCAGAGGCCACAGAGCAGCATCAGCACCACCATTGCATTCCCGAGCGCTAAGCCAGCCATCATCCAGCGACGTAGACTGGAACCATCTCGTCATCGGAGGGTGGCTCACTGACACCCGCAGAGAGACAGTGGAAGCCGAGACCAAGGCCTTGGTGCAAGCCATGGGGATTCAGACGGATGTCCTTGAGGTCATTGTCTATGGCCGCAGGGCTTCAACATCTCATGTCCGCCTTTGGGCCTTGCCAGACTCTGAGGCGAAACGACGACTTCTCCAACTTAAAGCGGACAACCTGGACAAACATACCATTCACAGCTCTGGCAAGAATGCCTGGCTCACCCAGCACAAAAGTGCACACAAACGCTTCAACAACAGGGCAACCAAATATGTGAAGGACACACTCCAAGCCCTAGTGTCCCCATCCTCCGTGGACCAATTCGACGTGGACTGGAACAGGCAAATCCTTTGGCTTCAAGATGCGAGAGTTGCTGCCTCCCAAGCGGCTGCCCTCCTCGCACCCAGCACTGACCAACTGGAGACTCTCATCTACTCTGATTCGCGCAGCCAAGACACCATCACCTTCCACGTCAACCTGACTCGCATCTCCACGGCCACCCAGATCCCAGTCCCTGCTTTAAAGCAGGCGCTTGGCAACATACAAGATGAATGACTCGCCGGCACAGCCGGCCGCGTGCATGACCCTGAGGGACGGCACCAGCGATCTCCACCCTCACATTCCCATGTCTTCCAAATGGCAACATGGAATGTGCGAGGCAAGTCCCTCGCTCAGATTGCTGACGTGCTGTCAGATCGGCGAATTCACTTCGATGCCATTGCCCTTCAGGAGGTCGGCTCCCTTGCCCAAGGCAAATTGACACCGAATGGCTTCCTCCAACCCGACGACCAGATCCAGCTGCATCCGCATCTCTCGGATTACTGGGTCCTTTGCACAGACCAACTTCACAGTCACCTGGGCCAAGCCCTTCTGATCGACCGCTCCTACGCAGACTGCGTTTTGAACACCCTGAAGGGGGATCGGTTCATTGGAGCACAAATCTTGCACACCAGTGGCGCCAAAATGTGGCTCTTTTCTGGACACCTCCCTCATCACCATCAGCCTGCCCTTGACTACGAGGCAGCCATCCAGGAGATGAAGCACTTCCTTGCCAAGATCCGGGACACTCCATGCATCATAGCTGCCGACTGGAACGCTTCACCAGCTGGACCAGCAATGGATGCACAAGGCTTGGCTGTTGCCTGCATGATTGAGGAAGACCACCTCGAGCTACTGCTGCCAACAGATCCGACTTGGAAACACAAAACCTACGATTTCTTTTTGGTCAACCCGGCCTTCGTGAACAAAGCTTCCCCGGAAGCAAAGCCCTTTAGCCATCCAAACACATGCGCCGACCTGCACCAACTCCTGCCCACCGACCACAAACTGGTCACCTTTGGGACGATACTCTCAACACAAAAGCACCGAAACAATCATCCAAAGCACCATCGCTCTGGCCGATGGCTTGTTCACAAAGATCACCTGCAAACACTTCTTTCCACAGCTTCTCCGCCGATGTGTTGGGACGAATTGTGCCGCATCTCCCGGGCCACCGCATACCGCACACCCAGCAAAAAATACAAAGATTCCTCACACCTGAAACAGCTCTGCCGCGATCGCAACCACACAACGGATGCCACAACCCGTGCGTCCCTCACACGCCACATCTTGTCCCTCCGGCGCAAGGAGAGGGCCCAGTGGATTGCAGATCTGCACAATGAAGCCGCAGCTGGCGACGCCTCGGCCATCGCTTTCCTCCAAAACAGGCGGAAAAGCAGACCTGACTGGGGCAGCCTAGTCTCTGCATGTGGGGGGGTGAAACAGCGGTCACTGCAGTCCAACAGCACTTCAACAACGTCTTTGCCAAGACAGCCCTGCCCACTCGCGATGATGAGTGCGAGCCATACCTGGCAACCATGCGCGCATCTATGGACCACATGCAGCCCACACCCATCACACCAGAAGAGCTCATTACAAGCATCAACAAACTCAAGCCGGGGAAGACTTCCGGCCCAACCGGCATGTCCAACGAATTCCTACAAGCCCTTTCAGCCAGCAACGAGGGCCTTGAACACCTTCTTACAGTCCTCAACAACAGCTTTTCCTCTGGCACCCTGCCTTCCGATCTCCACGTTGGCATTGCGTGCCTCATTCCCAAGTGCCAGCACATACAGAAGCCAGAGCAAATCCGACCCATCCTCCTGCTAGAGGTTGTACAAAAACTATACGCAGCCATCCTCATGCGCAGGTTGCAGCCCCATTGGCCACCACTCACAGCACAACTGGGCGCAGTGTCAGGCGGTCAGCCAATCGAGGCCCTTTTTGCCGCACACTACATGGTATCCATTGTGGAAGTCTCCGCAGCCACTCCCATTTTCGTGAAGCTGGACATCCGCGGTGCTTTCGACAACCTTAGCCATGCAAGCGTGGCTGCCTTCCTCGCCACCATGCCTTCCCGGGCGGCCTTTGAAGCGCATCGCTTGATGAAGCTGTTGATGGAACAACGCTTCCTCTTCACCTTCTTCAGAGAAGAGTGGGCAATACAGATCTCCAATGGCACACCCCAAGGCGGCAGTCACTCAGCTGGGCTGTTTGCAAGGACCCTTGACCACAACATTGGCAAAGTCACAGCGCAATGGGAGGCAGCAGGACACACTCCTGTGTTTAGCCCCATTTGGCTTTTGCTTTTCGTTGATGACATCCTTCTCACCTTTAAGAACTGGGCCCAAGCCACATCCCTACTGCCATCCTTGCTAGCAGCTCTCAACCAGGTTGGGTTGAACGTCAACTTCGACAAAAGTTGCATCGTCGCCCACGCCGACACACTCAGCAACTTGCCACCTAAGCACCTCCTTGGGGTCCTTGCTGACTTCCAATGGACCACACACACTCAATACCTTCGCAAACCCTTGGGATACCACTTGGGACACGACACAGTTGTGCAAAGTGCCCTCAGGCTTATTCACCAGGCATGGGGCCGAATGAAGCCGATCCTCAACAAATGCCACTGGTCACAGCCCGCAGCTACGAAGTGTTTGCTGGACAAATATGTTGGTTCATGCTTCCTGTGGCTTTCGCCAATCCTCTTTCCACACAAATCCACTCTCCACAGGCTGCAAGTCATCCACACAACCATTATGGTTGAAAGCCTCCACCTGTACATTCCTAACACTTCAGACAAGGAAGCATACCAATTGCAGCGAGCACGCAGGCATGTAGTAAGAGAGTGGCTGTCCCAAGCAACCCAAAAACAGGCATGGCCTACCCAATATCTGCGAAGGTTCTGGTCCTTCCTCGGGCACATCTGCAGACAAGAATTTCACAGTCACCACCCAGCCAGGGTCATGCTAGCGCACGTAGCAGACAGACATGCAGGAGGCTTGGCACGCCCCGGGCCCTGGCACACAACCCATTCCTTGCTGCGCAAGTTTTGGGCCGAGAAGGAAATCGAACATGATTACTTATACCTGGCGCACGACCGAGATGCATGGAAACTCCTTGGCGCAACTTTCCTCAAATGGATGGATCAACCCATGAAGTCGACCAAGGCTGAGCTGCTGCTTCAGAACCCTTGGGAATCCAAAGGTGCATTGCTACGGCAGCAAACAAACTGGCTACACACAGCCATTCTCAACATACATGGCACAACCTTACTCTTGACATGGCTGGACACAGTGGAAGGTCCATCGAGATTGTCCATCGACATTGGCCATCCGCACTCAGCGGCAACCATCCTGGAGAACTACATGGGCTTGGAACGCCATCTTCGCATCTTGTACCAACCCTTTGTTCAACAGCTCGCCATCAGCCAGCCGGAAATATGGAACCTCCTACATACTCAAGAACAATGTTGCCATGAACGACTTCTGAGGGGCCAGACAGCATGGTACCAACTTTTCCCACTTTCACCCCGTGAGGTAACTGCCTCTGTCATGCAGCCATTTATTTTGTAGATGATGCTGCGATTGATTTCGTCGTTTCCATCGGGCAAACCCTCCGGAAGCCCCAGCAAAAGCAAAAATATCTTCTGGCATATGGTCTGGCATATCTTCTGGCATTCTATCTGGCATATCTTCTGGCATATCTTCTGACATCCTATCTGGCAAACCTTCTGGCATTCTATCTGGCAAACATTCTGGCACTTTATCTGGCATATCTTCTGGCATATGTTCTGGCATATCTTCTGGCATTCTATCTGGCATTCTATCTGGCCGTTGAGGTCCAGCGGTGCGCACTGGGCTCGGAAGGTCCCAGGTTGAGGTCCAGCGGTGCGCACTGAGCTGGGCAGGTCCCAGGTGAGGTCCAGCGGTGCGCACTGAGCTGGGAAGGTCCCAGGTTGAGGTCCAGCGGTGCGCACCGAGTTAGGAAGGTCCCAGGTTGAGGTCCAGCGGTGCGCACTGAGCTGGGAAGGTCCCAGGTTGAGGTCCAGCAGTGCGCACTGAGCTCCGAAGTTGGCGAAGAGCTTGGCCAAGAGTTGGCAAGGCAACAGTGGACGTGGAAGTGGAGGCAGAGGTGGTAGAAGAGGAGGAGGACGCGGAGGAGGAGGAAGGAGGAGGAGGAGAAGGAGGAGGACGAGGAGGATGAGGAGAACAGCTCTGATAAAATCTAACATCCCTCACCTGGCAGGTGGGGAACTAAGTTAACCCACAAAAATGGCCCACACAAATCCAGAATCAGCAGGGGGAACCTGCCATACAACACCCGCTAATTGACAAAACGGATAAAGGATAAACAAACACAGCTGCCTGCACTCCTGTGGCAATATGGTTTCAAGTTTCAACTGCTTGGTAGCACATGTTTGCACCATTCTGTCAGATACGTTTTTTTTGATATGGGTGTTCTTTGTTTTGGATGATCTTTGGAAGCTTCTGGGGGATTGAAACTTTCAGGGCATCAGTTGACCCAGTCTTCTGTCTAGACTGCCTCCATACTACCTCCAAAGTTGATAAAAGATTTTTTTTTTCCAGGACCGCATGTTCATCTCGGAGGGGTGTCGGCTCCGCGAAGCAGCCCAACAGATTGTGCCTGGGCGTAAGTTTTGTTGGAAGTAGGGGGTCTGTGATTGATGTTATATGCGTTGTTAGCCATTAATTATTTCTTTAATGACCATATATATATATATAAGATTATCGGAGTCATTTTAATTGTATATATATATATATATAGTGATTATTTAGAAATACAAATTTATTTTTATTTTATGACAATGTTTAGGATATTTTAAGATAATTGAAGTGGCCAAAATGGCCGTTTAATTCTTGTTACATCCCAGCTGACTTTTTGCTTCTGGGGCTGAGGATCCCCAGATATGGATGTACCCTCTGGTCAATTAACAGTTGGACCCTGAAAATAAGCAATTTTTTAGTGGAAACATGTGGAAACCAGCCTTCCAACCCCGACAACTGCCAGGGTCGATGTTAGTTTACCGGAGGGTAAATGGAGGACCCTCTGGATTTCCACAAGCATGGGACGGGGAAGAATCCGAGAATCCGGAGAGGTTTTGCATAAAGGAACCATTTGGGGCGCTGGAAATGTCAAGTTTTGGGGGGTTGATAGAAGCAAACGATCACCATGATCACCAGCCAAGGGATCGAGAAACCTATCGCTGATGAATGATGCCCAGGATAGTCACAGGTTTGTTCATGAAAATTGACAGGTCCCAGTTTTTCCACTGGTATCCCTGGGAAAGGCGCGCCGTGATGCTCCCCACAGCGTCATTGCAAAGTTCAACCGCAATGTGGAATTTAACATGGCAACGCCACTCAAGGCTGGAACCGGGGGGTTCCCGGGTAAACCTTGGACCTTTGGATGGTATAGGTTGCAGTGATGGATTCATATTATATTCATATTAGAATGTAATTATATATATATATAGCATATAATATACAGCATATAATATGCACGCATATTATATGCATGCAGTCATAAGAATTATAAGCTGAAAGGGGGGCGCATAGAATGCCTGAGATTGTGTGGGAGTGGTGACTGCCTTTGTCAAAAAGAGCGGGCGAGAGCGAGAGAGACCTTGCCTGAAGGCAGTGGTGAAGGAGAGAGAATGCCCAACTGAAAGCTGCCATCGTGTAGTTTGATGAGTATCTATCATGGGGGTCAAAAACGCCAAGTCTGTGTGCTCGCCCACCGTCAGCTGTTACTCTGCGAAAGGATCACTTAGAAAATCACGAACAACTTCGACAACAACTGGAGAAACGTGAGCTGTTTCTTGGCTTCTTGGTCCTCTTTTCCTTGATGGTGATGATGATGATGATGATGAGGGTTCACTATGGTGCCAGGGAATGTCCCCTGAACCTGTTCTTGGTGCTTCATTCTCGAATAATAACTCTTGGAGTAGCTTCAAGTTCAAGAAAGGAACAAATCATCGGAGGCTTTGAGCCAAGCCCGGGATCACTTGTCTTGACATGGAACGTGACCATGTTGCCTGTTTAAAGGTAGCCCGCAATCATCAACAAACGGCGGGTGAATTGTTGTTCGAGGTGTTTGACGGCACTGAAGGATGCGCTTCAGCAAGTGGAGCTTTGCGAGGTGCTCATGGCGCTGTTTTCCCATGACTTTTCTGCCCCAGCCTGGCTTCAGACATGCGCATTCCTATTCTTGAATGAAATTCTGCACAATATAGAAATAATATAGCATCATAGCAATAATGATTAATGATATTTATAATATAACAAATAGAAGGCCACATATATAGAAAGATTAGACAGATACAAGGTAGATAGATCATGGTAGATCATGGTAGATACTGTATGTACAACCTGAAATTTGACACCTGGTATTGACCGCTGCGAGGGCCTCACGGAAGCAGATCTGCGGAAAAGACTGGCGCAGGACGAGTTCCGAGCTTCGAAGGTCCCCATAGCCCCCCATGTGGCACCGGCCCGGTCACGGGCCATGGGAGTTGCCCAAGGTTCGGAATTCAAATGGCTGAGTTGTCTGATAGGCTGCCTAGAGGTAACCATTTATGGTTTAACATCCAAAAACATCCAATGGTACAATGATTATACTATATAGTGTAATTATATATATTATATATATATATATAATATATATTCAGGAGGAACAAAGTTTATGCTTCTTGAAAGCTTTACAAAACATCCATTTCGGTCAACCGCGGATCACATTTTCAAGTCCGTTTTGTGTGGCAGGTGTGGGACGGTCAATTATCACCCTCTTTTAAATATATAAGATTTTAAAGCTTTTGGAGGGTGGGAATGCGACCGGGGTACGACAAAGCTCCATGCTAGGATTCTACGGGGAAAGGGTGTGCAGAAGAAGAAACCAACCATGTTCACTGTGGGAAGCTCAACAAGCGCAACTTTTGTCCTACCAGTGTATATATATATATATATATATGTAGTTTACATAGTATATATTTATATAGTATACATATAGTATATAGATATGTATTATATATAGTATATAGATATGTATACTGTATATATATATATAGTATATATGTACTGTATATATATATATGCTTGTGTGTGTGTCATCATGTTCATATATGTTCATTACTTTTCCATGTTCAGATGGAGCCGGTTCAAACGAGAGTTTGGAAGAAAAGCTAGTGACATCTACAGTGACAATTCCACGTCAGCAGCATAAACAAAACCCTAGCAATCATAGAATATAGGGTGGTTGAGGCAGCCCAAATCCCTTCGCAAGCCGCCCAAAGTCACAGTGAGAAGAAAACACATATAGTTGCTCCTTGGTTCAGGCAGTTTTAACATGTTTTAGCTATTTCAGATTTTAAACCATTTTTGGGATGATGATCCCTGATGACAATCTCATTGTTCAGGGGGATGGCTCAGCCACCCACTCTCGAAACTTGCACAATTTCCCATCATTCCACTGCACGAGGTCACCTTCAACAAGCTGAATCGGCACATCTTTGAGTGGCTCTATGTCCTGGAGGCACTTGCTCCGGTGACTCAGCCATTTTGAGTTGAAAAACCCCGATTTTCACTTGGATGCTGTTGGGATATATATTATATATAGTCTTTAAAGCACCTCCACTATATGAAACCAAAACATTTTGTAAAATCCATGTGGGACTTGTTTTCCTACAATATTTATTCAGTCGAATCAGAGTTGTAAGCGGAACCTTTCTGTGCATAGCTGCGATAAGTGACATTGACAGTTCCACTCTCTAACGATGAACTTTTGATACTTCGCACCTTTCTTTGGGTTTGCTATGGGTCAAAAATTCCACCGTTGGGACAGCTCAAGAACTCTCGGCAGGAACATCGAGGGGACATCATGGACTCCTGTTGCTTGGATCATGGGCCGTCTGAGGGGCTCTATGTAGCATCCACCAAGAAGATAGAAAACTAATTCCTTTCATAATAGTGGCAATCAGCTCCTCTATTTTTTTTTTGCCTCAACTTGGGAGCAGTGCATGTGCAGATATGTGCAGTGATTCAGTTTTTGCACTTGTTGGGAGGCTCAAACTCAGTTGGTGGCCACCATTTAATAAGGGCCAGCCATGCTTTCATCAAAGAGGGGTGGTCCACCCTCAGGGTATCAAGGGAATAAACATACCTCGCAGATACTGGTTGTTTCTGAAAGGAACTGACCCTTCGGTAATCAAACTTGGCAATGGGAAATCCCCATAAATTGGTTTTGACATAAACAGGAAAATGATCTAAAATGATTACATAGGGGATTTTCATTGATTTTCCATTGCCATGTTGCCGGGGTCTTACAAAAAATCAGGACTTTTGTGGTGTGAGTTTACTGCCGTCATCCCCGAATGGATGATGACGAACTGGCCGAAATGGGCCAGTGGAGCCGGTTGGCTTAGTCAATTCGTGAATTGATGGCCGGGTGATGCCAAGGTGTTTTTGGGGCCTGTGATAGATGTACCCTCTGGTGAACTAACATAGCAATTGAAAATGGCCATAGAAATAGTGGATTTTCCCATTAAACATGGTGATTTTCCATTGCTATGTTAGTTCACCAGAGGGTAGTTTCTAAAAAGTGGGATAGCAATGGATAGCAATGGCTGGCCATCCAGTAGCAACCCCCCATCTCCATGATCTGATGCTGCTGGGTGACGGTTAAGATGGAGCTACGGAAAATATAAAGGAAATCAGTCGAACTGAATGGGCCATGGTTTCCATAGCAATCTGATGAATTACCAGAAAATATTTGTTGGGGAGGGGCTTGGTGACCGTGTATCTCGAGGTTTGCAGACTTTGAAATATTTGCAGTACGATTTCTTCTCCTCTGCAGCTCACGCGGTGTCCAACGTCCTGCCAGAGCAAATGTCCTTTCGACCCATGACGGACGCATGGCCCAAGCACCCTTTGGTACTCAAACATGGCAATCGGAAATCCCCATAATTCGGCTTTATGCTGTGATATGCTTTGATATCAAATGGACAAATCATGAAATGGTGGATTTTCCATTGCCATGTTTGATTGATTGCCAGGAGTAATCTTCAAGCTTATGAAACATGGACGATGTGACTTATTTGGAAGAGAAACATGGGGTCAAAATGGAATGGGCACGAACATTCTTCGATGCAAGATGCTCATTCTGCAAACGTGTAGGGAGAGAGAGAGAGAGGGAGAGAGAGACCTGAGAGAGATCCGTCTGTTCGTGCTGACCTTCATTGACCCGCAGCCAACTGTGAAGATTTTGAGGACATGCTACCAGAGTGCCTCCAAGCACAAGTGGAAGAGAAACTCAACTTGTCCGAGGACATTGAGGCACCCAAAGTGAGAAAAGGGATAGGTTCAGAAGAAAATAAGGGTGTTTATTTGGCTAATAGAGTTTTTTTTATCATCTTAAACACCCTGTTTTACAGTCTAAAAAGATGATATGGTTCTAAATGTTTTAACCGTTTAACCTGCAACACATATTCCACAATGTTCTGCCCGTGCAGGCCGCCGATGCGCGTGAGATCTTCGTGCAGCGCTTGTTGCAACGACTGGTTTCGGAGAATAAGGATCGGCCAGGTACATGAGATGCGCGTTTCTTTTGCAGTGAACAAAACACCATTGGTATGGCAAGATCTATATAAAGCTATATAAACCTATATAAACTTATACAACCTATGTAAACCCAATATAGAGTTTAGTGTATATACAATATATATATATATATATCAGTTCGCAATCCCCCAAAAAATAATGATCAATCATAATTTCATGTTCACGTTCACATAGATCGTGGTAGACTGTGGCAAACCCAATGCATCCCATGTTGGGTTTACCACATTGATTTTGATGTCGAGTCGGGATCTATAACCCCCCCAGTTTACCAATGAGGGAGGGTTCCAATTTCGAGGATTTGTCACTATTTTGGGGATAACAGCCCCAATTAAATCTACAGATGCTACATTTACCACAAGGTAATTAGGGGATTGATCACTTTTGTGGCACTAAAAATGTTGGCGGTTGGCGGTGCCAGGTGCTCCTGCGCTGAGCACCCCTGCCACTCAGGCTACCACGGATGAAGATGAAGGATTTCTGTTGCAGGAACTGTTTATGGCATGTTTATATATACATAAACATAGAGGTATGATTACTCTACCTCACTTCTTTAGAACATATACCGGCGAAATCACTTCTCTCCAATTTGTGGGCAAGTGCATCATCGTAACATGGTTCGCAGTTGCTGCAATGCTATTTGGATGCTTGCATAGGGGTGGTGATATAGGGATATATATATATGTGTATGCATGATGTGAATAGTTCATCGCGACCTTGCTGCTGCTTGATTGGAACCAGTTACATTGGTTGACTTGACAGAGAGGGATGCCTTTCAAACTTCGGGAGACAGAATCATGTTCTGTTTCTCTTGGGCCCAGCGTGCTGAAGAGTTTTGGGCCATGAAAAGATGCCAATGGTCCTGGACCAATGTGATCAAATGGATAAGAGCAAGCGGTGGACCTGGAAGTTTTGGATGCTTTTGGCAGATGCCACCAATCCAACCCGGTTACCTCGCATGCCACTCATGGAACCTAATGTGTCATTTATTTTTGGAGCGTCCCAGCCCCACATTTTTGGGCCAGGTGGATCCATTGTCGTTGTCCTGCCTGTTGTCCCACGGCTTTGAAGAGGGCCCCGCACGGCGGGCCTTGCGGAAGACCATGAATGACACGCAGGTGGGGTTTGAAGCAAAAAAAAACGTGGAAACGTGGGCTTTGGAGGATGATGAATTTTTCAGGGTATTTCTAGAGGTATTTCTCATGATAGTGTATGGGGCTGGATCAGAAAAAGCATTCAAACTGTTATAGGGGCATGAACATCCATTTGCAAGTTATTTTGATATTCTCCATAGCCATAAAACTACCAAAAGAAGATAAAAGACGCTTGCATTATCACCATTTTGCTATACTTTAGCAGGATGTTTGATGGTTCCATTTGTTCGAGGTTATACGTATCCCCTTAAACCCCTGGGTTTCAACACTCAAACGGCCGAATCTTATGGATTATGAAGTATGAACATGGGAGTAAACACCCAATTTGCGAACGCTGCAATTTCGCCGCAAGGCCAAATACAATTCAAAGGTAAACCATAAGTAGGTTGAATATGAATTAATTGCAGTACTCAATAAATAAATTCCCTTTAACTATATATATATATATATATTTCTGGCCTGGTCACAATTCCGAAGAACAAGACAAAGGATTGGCAACTATTGTCTGACGAAAACTTAGAGGTCCCTTAAGAAACCCCAAAACACTCATTATTATGTATGGTACGCTACTCTGTATTCACACATTGTAAAAATGTAGTTCTGGACATTGCCATGTCTGAAAAAAGGTAAACCAAGAACCTCGAAGCTGGACAGTATATTAGCTATGTATTGTTTTCAAACATTATTATTATTATTATTTATATTCTTGTTCTTATTATTATATATTGTATATTTATATATTCAGTGTATGTGTTATGTGTATGTATGTGCATATAAATGCATACGTACATACATACATACATGCATGCATGCATACATACATTTTGGCTCAAGCCATTTGTTGCTCAAGTCATTTTGGTTGCGAGACCCGTCCGAGGGTAGAATTGTCCAATTCACAGTGCTTTGTACTGCAATGGCGGATCACAAGCTCATTTCGTGCATCGGATATAGCCTTAGATTAGCCACAAAGCAGGGGAGAGTTTCATTTGCCCAGCATCTTTGGCATGGTTTGTATGCTTTGACCCAAGGGCAAAACGAGAACGAATGTGTGAGCATTGCCAGGCCATTCTGTGTTTATATTCTGCTGTGGGTTTGGATGGACATGAGCCAGATGAGAAGCATTTGCCTGGGACAACGTCTTTCGGAGATCCTGCAACCAGCACAGTTCTCGATCAAGACCTTGCCACAGGCCAATATGCAAGCGCTATGGTTTGACCGTTCTATGATCAAGCCACCCAAACAGAAACGCAGATGCTGACAATGCAAGAGTTTGAAAGCGTCATTCAAAAGATACAGAAAGATTTGGTGGAGAAACTTGCGCCCCACTTTCAGCCAGTCCCTTCCAGCCGTGGCTCAGATGAGTAGGAAGGAACGTCTCCGATAGACTGGTCACCTCTGAAGACTTGCTTTCAAACGCGGCCCGGGGCATTGATACAAGGTCCTCCGTAGACCGCCCTTCTGCAGCTGGAGCAGGTGTGAGACACGAGGAAGTGCCAGCGTCGAGAAATCGAAGACGTGAGCTTGAGAAAAGGGCTGGGCTGATTCGTGTTGTATAGTTTAGTCTGCCTTCTCCAAAATTCTTCTGATGGCTTGCCCCTTTCACATGCGCTGCTGGTAGATGGTAGGGTCCTATGCTTGCAACCCAATTTGCGGAACTAATTCGTTCCGCAAGCTACATCGCTTGTTTCCTGTACAGTTGCGATTGGGATTTTCGTTTTTCAGTTCAATTCGTCACATGCATGCATTGAGTCATGATGTTGCCTCCGTCTTTGGTGACCGCATGATCGCCTCTGCCTCTGGCAGTCTCACTTGACGAGATGGCGACGGAGAGAAAGAGAGAGAGAGAGAGATTCATACATACATACATACATACATACATACATAGATAGATAGATAGATAGACATACATACATACATACATACATACATAGACATACATAGACATACATAGGCATACATAGGCATACATAGACATATATAGACATACATAGACATACATCGACATACATCGACATACATAGGCATACATAGGCATACATAGGCATACATAGGCATACATACATACATACATACATACATACATACATACATACATACATACATACATACATACATACATGGTGTGTGAAAAGGTGGTATGTATGTATGTATGTATGTATGTATGTATGTATGTATGTATGTATGTATGTATGTATGCGTGTATGTAACGTAACATAACTTCACCTAACGTAAAGTAACGTAACGTAATGTAAGGTTAGTAACGTAACTTAACTTAACGTAACGTAACGTAATGTAATGCAATGTAATGTATGTATGTATTTATGTATGTATGCATGTATCTTTGTATCTCTCTGTGTGTGTCATCGTTTTTGGGTGGTAAAAGAACATATCAAGCCTCCATCTTCTGAAAACATAATACCGTAGTATACCACCCAATGTCATTCATTGCCAGGCAGCGATGGAGTGGCTTCTGGCAGGTGAACCAACCACCAGGCCATGTTTCATCAGAATTTTGTGAAACACTACCGGGATTTCCATACATGTACCCCAATATGGATGGTTTATGATGGAAAAAAACAACTGAAATGGATGGCTCCTGGAAACCGGGGTACTACATGTGGATGGTTGCGAAATCCTGCGCCACCTTGCATGGTTGAAACCCCTCTAAATAATGGGATTAACCACGTATCAATTGGTGCAGGATTTCTTCCATCTATCATCTCACCAAACCTACCAGAGCTTATCAACAAATGCAGCTTTGACCAAGAATGTCCGGGGAATTACACAGGCAAAAGGACATGTGCAATGTGCAGCTATGAGAACGGGGATAGAACGCCTGGAAGTAGGTACCACATATGGTTTGCAGCTATCTCACCATCCCAAATGGAACTTGGCTTCAACATTGCGATGCGTTCCAAAAAAATGATTTAAAAAAGGTTTGAGTGACCCTAAAGTCTAAAGTGACAGATTTCAGATCAGTTCACCCCGTTCAGCTGGGTGAATTGCCGATGATTGTTACCGTAGATCTTGTAATAAAATGCCGGAAAGAATTCGGTGCAACCCAACATCATTCTCAATCACCAGATTGGCTGCTTCGGCTGCCTCAGGAGCTCGGAGGGCGGGCCCCTGAGGTGAAAAAGCTACGGAGTGGTCCGAAACGGTGAGTTTCAGAGGCTGGGGTAATGCCAGCCCAAACTGACATAAGAAATATTAAGAAATACATAAGATGGTTTATTAATTGTTAATGCTGCTGGGGTATCAAAATTTTCCGATACTGGGGTAATTTTATATTCATTGCTAATTAACAGGATGCAGCTGTATATCGGTTAATCATGGTTAATCGATATGCTGCCATCTAAGCCATCTATGTCTATATATTGGGCTTAGGGATTTGGATTTGTTAAAACTCTAGAGACCATTTAAACATGTCTAAAATCTAGAATCTGAGGACTCTCTCTGGAAATCTTGGGGAATCTCTGAGCTGCATTGTTTCTTCCTTTGGGGATGGCTATAACATATATATATATAATTATATATATATATAGACACTGTGAAACGCTGAAGGCACTTCGTCGGGAGATCCAGTCACCCAGTATTAGGAAATGAGGTGTTGCAACTGGATTGGATGGAACCTTGTGCATGGATTTTGCTTAGTTCCCTGGACTTGTGGTTGTAATGGCATTCCTCATTCATGACTCCGACTGGGTCTTTCTGCTCAAAGACCATCATTGCTCCTGCAACGGATATCGATGGAGATCGGCAGCATCCACATGTTCTGTGACCAGCGCGCTGAAAAGCCTCGGTCCGTGAATGGCTTGAAAATTAGCTATAAAACGGACAAAATATGGGAGAGAAATGTACAGACATATCTCTTATTTGTGAAGGCTGTTTAGGAGCAGCATCAGCCGTGCAATTAACTCAAGGCAGCAAACGGTACCCCTTGTGACAGCAAAGAGCATATTTGACCCACGGTCATCCTGGACATATTTGTTGGTATCTTGTGGTCACATTTTTCAGCATGTTACACTCATCTTCGTCAAACTGATCAAGATCATCAGCATGGCCATGGTTTCCAGATGCTGACTCATGGAGGCTGGGGGTGGCAGCACTGCTGGATTGTCAGCTGCCCAGTTCAAACAATAGAGTTAGAACATTTCTCTATACCTCATATAAAGATACATACTATGCCATACTATTCTGCAATGCTGCCTCCTGCATATGCATGGTTCCCTTGGCATACTTTCACACTAACTTTGCCCCTTCCACATCTTCACTGGACAGGCTCAGGATGGTGCGTGGAAACATCTCGAAAGCCCTCACCAGGTGCATGGGCCTTTGAATATGACTGAAGTCCTGGAAGTGGTTAGCAAAAATGGAGCCATCATCGTTTTATCCTCATTAAATCCGCCCCTAAAAAAAAAGAACAAAACGTTCATTTGATTGGACCTGGCTGGTGGTTTCAAACATTGGTGTTAATGTTCAACCCTATACCCTCTGGTAAACTAACATAACTATGGAATTTTACAATTTTTCATGGGAAAATCAACTATAAATGGCCATCTTCAATAGTTATGTTAAATTACCAGAGGGTATTTGGGATGATGGTCCCAGCCGGCTGATATTTTTCAGGATGGGTTGTAACCACCAGCCAATGAACTCCTGCATCAAAAGCTTTGTGATTCACCATGTTTCTTTTTTTTTGAACATTGTCAATTGCGGGTGTAGACCAAATTTTGCCAAACAAACCCAAACATTGTACAGGTGGTTATATTTCTAATTAGTGTCCCCCTTGCCACATATCGTTATATTAATTAATTGTATTTAGCTATTATATCATGCTACATCCAGATTCAAACATCCCATGACATATTCCCATATTGATTGGTAGAATCACCCCATGTTTTTGCAACAAAATCACCTACTCCCTCAGGCGGCCTGACCGCACGGTCCGTCCGGCGCAGTGCCCAGTCGGGGCGCCCAGCAGTGCTTCGCACATAGTGGCGCTTGTTTCGAAGTTGTGGGAACGCCCCTGGGGAAACCCCCTAAAATATCTATAAATAGAGGTTAATAGCTGGGAAAAATAATCTATAAATGTTTACATACAGCCCACATATTCCCTTATGGAGGTTTCCTAGAATGGAGGTACCCCCAATTCATGTTATGTTTCCGGATTTTCCATTAAATAAACCACCCAGGTATTGGTACCCCCATGACTTCGGGAAACCTCCATATACACAGAGAGCCTGGCAATTCCTTTGTTGCAGGCTTGGGCACCACTGGGTCGAGCGCTGCAAGACTTTTGGGTCCGAATCTCTGACAGATGGAGGGCAGGTGGAGATTATATATCAGAAACATATATTGATATAGATGAATCATAGAAAAATGTAGAAAGCTTATAGAAAAAATAGATTATCTTTAGGACAAATCATGAAAATATGAAAGTTACATATCGGATTCATATAGGTACATAGGAGTAACCTCTACAAACATATAAGCAACATTAAGCAACATACAAGTAACCCCCAAAAGAGAAACATATTGTACACCAACTTTTGTGTTTGGGCCAAGTTATGTTTACCAGGCCTTTCAAGTCTTGTGACGTGAAAAGGTGGAACAGCAGGAGGTGCCACGCACATGAATTGTCATGTCATGTCATGTCCAGATTCGGGAGACCATGTTCCAGTATTTTTGCAGTATGCCTGTGTCGAGCCCTACCATCCCCGTAATTGTATGGAATATCATCATATTTTTACATTTCCTTTATTATTATCACCTAAATGGATATGTGTATTATAAATATATATATATATATGTAGTATTTCAACTTTATATATATATATATTATCTATATATATTATCTATATATTATATGATATACACATCATTTCCATGTAGCTTAGCCGGACCTTCGGGATGGCGACATCCCTTTATTTTGATTCATGGATTGAGGGATCATGACAGAGCCTTCCCAAGGCCAACGGCTCCACCAGTGAGCTTCCACCGCTGTTGTATTGGTCGCAGCTTGGCCGGAGTGGATGATTTTTTTGTTTAGCATTACGAAATGATAAGACAGTGATGTTTTAGATACTTCTTGAGTTTTGCTTCCTAGAGGGATGTTGATGTCATAAGTTTTGTTCACCGTTTAGTTGCAAGAGAGATCGCAAGTTGAGATACCCTCTGGTAAGCACCATGGCAATGGATGCTGCGAAAACAAGTTGGACACATCGAGTGCAGCAGATAGAACGTGATACAATTACATAATTATGATTCCTTAATTTAGATAAATGGATGCTCGTAGATAAGATTAGATAAATAGATGGATAGATAGATAGACAGATAGGTAGATAGATAGATAGATAGATCGATCGATCGATAGATCGATAGATTAGATAGATTAGATAGATTAGATAGACTACATAGATTAGATAGATTAGATAGGTTAGATAGGTTAGATAGAATAGATAGAATGGATAGATAGATAGATAGATAGATAGACAGATAGATAGATAGATAGACAGATAGATAGATAGATAGATAGGTTTATTAGATAGATTAGATAGATAATTGGATAGATAATTGGATAGATAATTGGGTAGATAATTAGATTAGTTTAGATTTGATTAGATTAGATAGATAGATAGATAATTGGAGATAATTAGATAGATTATTAGATTGGATTAGATTGGATGGATGGATGGATGGCTGGATGGATGGCTGGATGGATGGCTGGATGGATGGCTGGATGGATGGCTGGATGGATGGCTGGATGGATGGCTGGATGGATGGATGGCTGGATGGATGGCTGGATGGATGGCTGGATGGATGGCTGGATGGATGGATGGCTGGATGGCTGGATGGCTGGATGGATGGCTGGATGGATGGCTGGATGGATGGATCCTAGAAAAACAACATTTTTCCAGAGATTCTGTTGCCTGTGGCTGCTAGCAGTAAAACAGTTTGTAGTTGTAGTAGTAGTAGTAGTAGTAGTGGTAGTAGTAGTCGTCGTCGTAGTAGTAGTAGTAGTACTGTTACTAATAGCAGTGCAGTACATCTTTTTCCCTTACGCGCTCCCCCTTGATGGATGGCTGGATGGATGGATGGATAGAAGTATATATGCTTCTCATGTGTATGATATAGATTGATTAATTATTCTACCACAAGCAATGGTTACTAGGGGGATCATCGCAACAGATCCCAGTGGTTCTTTATACCGATTCAGCCAGATATACTTCACAAATAATCACAAAATACACTATGCTTTTGGAAGGAATACATACATTGTTTCCACTAAGAGTTTCTATATTTTTCGACAAGGGGATAGTTCGTTGGGGCTACACATCGCCCCACAATGGCCCACTCATGTTGTTCCCAGTGATTTCAGGGATGCAAAAGCATCAAAGACCTTAGATAGAGGAACATCATTAATTCTTGAATGGCATTGGTGCTATTGGACACTTATGTGTATAATTTGTATACGGGCCTAGTTTTGCTCCCACCGTCCTCATAGGGTTTACTTTGTGGAAACTGTCCATGAGTTGCTTGGGCTTTGGCACTCGGCCTATCAGGAACTTGCGCTCTGAACCTGAAGAACTCCCACCGGCAGGGATCCTGGAGAATTGTGGCGTTTCGTCTGGCAGTTTGTCACTTCAAACTCAATGACTGGACTGGACCACCAAGCTTATGCCACCTTTAAGGCCCTCTTTTTTCGGCGGCCCGCTGAAATGCCACCAGTGGAGCGCAGGGTGGCGGTTCACTGGGGGAAACCTCTCATTTGTAGTTTGGAGAACTATATCTGGGGGCACTGCACCTATAAGTTGTTTCTTGTATGGCATCTGACTGGGGTACTAACACTTGTTTGGCTGTGCGTTTCAAGCACTTATTCACATGTTCCAGCATTTTTCTATCATTTTTCCCATTCGCTGGGAAGATGCCATCAATCAGGATGGCTGGCCACTGGCACCAGTCTGGCAGTTCCGGCACTGCCAGGAGCGCTATGCCTTAGATCTTTGTCGACAGCAGGGTGGTCGCATCCTGGATGTGGGCGCTGGGGTGCGGGTCCTCTGGAGGGATGGGAAGATGAAAACAGCCATGGAAGGCCAGGTCTATTTGATGTGGATGTGGAGCAGCTGCTGATTTCTTACAGCCATTGGCTGTTGGCATTTGTTGGCTAGATCCTTTTCGTTTCGGACAAGGATTCAAGTCGACTGAAGTGGGGAATGAGGGAGAAGAACCCATTCCAAGTAATCTAAGTAATCGAGGATAAGATAAAAAGTATTGCACTGTAAGCATTTACCAGCTGCTTGTTCTTGTGAATGGGTTGGAAGCGCAAGGGTGAGATGACTTGCTGACGCTGCAGGCCGGAAGCCACGTCTTAGCCTTGCAATCCCAAGGCGGCTCCGCGGTGGAGACGTGGGATGAGCAAAGAGTTTTAATCCTCAGCAGATTTGTGATACAGGTTCATAATCACATCAAATCAGAACTGGTCGGTGGTTTCAAACATTTTTTATTTTCCATAATGTATGGGATAATCCTTCCCAATGACTAATATTTTTCAGAGGGGTTGAAACCACCAACCTTATCATCATGATAAATGATATGATTGAAATATAGTATAGTATAGTATATATATATATATAGTAGCAGTAGATTTTTTTTGGCCCACTAAGTTAGTCACAATCCGAATTCCACAGGGGAAGGGCATGGATGAAGAACTCGCCGATTTTTTGCCCGGCTGGTGGCACATCAGTGGGGTGGGTATAGAAAAAATCCATGGCTGGTTTGGGTGTCTGTTTGCTGACCTACAGAATCTCTATTGCATCGTTGCGGATATTGCCGGGTTTGATTTGCTAGACGGTAAAGGTGGGCAAAGTCAGATGCCGGGTTTTTTTGGGGGTTGGCCTCAGCTTTCAATCTTGCTCTTCTGAAATCAGCCGCTGGTCCACGCAGCTTGTTATCAGCAACACTGACAGTGTCAAACAGGAATTCCAGCAGACATGCAGCTGCAATGACCCAATAGAATTGCATTAAGGTAAGCTCCATGAAATTCCGATCATTCCCCCAAACAACTATGTAATGTGGTACATAAACCCAAAAGTAAACTATCCCCCAAACCACAATAAATGGGTTGTATAAACTATCCCCAGGGTTCCCCACACTACGGAAGTTCTTTGCAGCGGCTGGATCTTTCAGAGCCGCTTGTTGGCAGTGGACGAGGGAACCACCAAAAAAAAATGTGACGTAAACGCGCCAACTGGGCAAAGGAAACTTTCAATACAACAGTGATCAACAGTGTGTTTTGGTAGGGGAGATGTTTGGAGGTGATTGAATAACGGCGGTGGGGTGTTCCAAAAGAACATCACCAGTGCAATGATTTAAAATGCACGGCTTGATTCCATAGTCTATGCTTCAGGATATTTCAGGATGACTGTAGCAAGCGCACAGCTACCTACACATGGCTGGGCTGGGCATTTTCTTCGTGGTTTGGGCTTTCATGACTTTGCGGTTGACACTGACGGCTACAGATGGTCACTGCTATACACTTAGTCAAATCAATGCAAAATGCCACAAGATTCCACTAAGTCTGGTCATGTTGTAAGTATATACATCAACCAGTATAATTGGCTGTTTTCAACGGGCAACGCGTATATTACCCAATCACAAAGCAACCGCTTGCTAAAAAACGGAGGCTGCTTACCCCACAGAAGTATACAAAAGTGATGTCTACGGCTACTTCAATTACGTTCAAATGCCCCATGTTTACCCTCTGGTAAACTAACATAACTATGGAAAATCACAATTTTTTAATGGGAAAACTCACTATAAATTCTATAAATGGCCATTTTCAATAGCTATTTTGACATAACCAGAGGGTACATATAGCTGGTGGTTTCCTAAGCTTCCCAGGACGGTCATGGGTGCCACACAATGCTGTATGGATCGAGACAAGACGGAGGCGCAGGACGGTCCAACCCACCCTCCGCCGGCTGAGGCCGCGCTGTGGGCAGGGCCCTATTGATGTGGATGAAGTTGACAGTATCATACAGTATCCCTATAGATACCCCTAGACATTAGACCATGGTTGCAGCAGCCAATGATTAGTTTGATATACATATATAATTGTTTTTTTCTTTTGTGGTCACTTCTTATTTCTTCGCTAGCTGGAAGGCAAAGCGTTTGAAGCGCCAGAACAAAGAAAACTGTCAACAAAGAATCGGCAGTTGGGTCAAACACATATTGAATACAACCCCATTTCTGGAGTTGGTCGGCTACCAACCCAGCAAGAATCCTCGCTTCGGGGTACCTGTGTATTCCTAGTCTGATTTTTTTTCACGGAGCATCTCGGATGTTGATAGGAACTATTGTAACTAAATACATGGGTTTGTCCGGAAATATCGGGGCCACACTTCAAAATTGCGAGTTTAATTTGGTTTGTAATATTTTTTACTGAGGAAGAAGAATAGATGCCATGATAAGCCATCAAATTGTTGGGGTTTCTTCACACAAACCGACATGGTCAGGCGGCATTTGCCGCTCCTCGGGAGGCGGGTAGCCACTAAGAGCCACTGCGGGGGGAATCTTGACATAAAGTGATGGATGAAAAGATATGAAACGTGATGTGCAAGGTAGGAAGAGGAAGAACAGCCAGGGCCAGCCGTTTGTATACATAGAAATTCCCTCAAAATGTGTGCCACATGCGGTAAAGATGCGAACGTGATATCCTGCAAGTTCAGCAGGACGTTCATTTCTATTCTGCCGTTCCGTCTAAATTTTGGCTCCAGTGGTACTGGGTAGGCCGATGTCCTCATGATTCCACGGACAAGACAGACCTAAACCATCAATGTCTATCCTGACAATTCTTCAGATGTTTCAACTGTGTGTTAGTCACAACTCCTCAAACGGCAGCAGCATTAATGAGTCTTTGTTGCCCTGTTTGGCTTGGGGATCGTCATATTTCAAGAGAACCTGTAGCATCATTTTTTTGTTTGGCATATGCATGTGCAGCACCCTCCAATGATCCAAATCTCTGTTGACCAATCATCAACCGTCGCCCATGGCGCCATGACTAATCGGCTTGGTCCTGGCACGACCCTATCGTCGATGTCCAGCGAAGGTCCTGGATCTGATTCCAGCGATGAATCCTCAGACAGTCCCGAGGCTCAGGTTGAGGTATGATGCCAGCAGGATAGGAGGGGGTTCAATCAACCAACCCGGTTCTGAGTGATTTGACCATCTCCACGTCCCATAGAGTCGGGCGGACTGAGGCGCAGGAGAGGGGCTGGAGACGGAAGAGCAGGCAGAGGGACGGAGACAAGCAAAGTTCTTGCGCAACTTGTCCTGAATGGCTTGAGATCGCTTTATGGCTGGTGTTGCTTTTTGATCAGTTTATACTTTCCCATCCTGAATTTAGCAAGCAAGAATGGAAGCGACATCAACTAACAACCACTAACAGCAACTTGGAAAAATTGCGGCTGAGTGGCTCGCCCAACTGACGAACTGATGACATTTGCCAGTTGTGAGTGACAGCATGAGACTCAAGGAAGAATGCTGGTGGAATTGGAGGGGTCCGTCCTCAGAGCTTGGCGAGACTCAGTTGCAATCCTCGATTTTGGAGTGCAGCGGATGGCTTGAAACCCGACATGCAACCCAAACGTTGCCATTTTTGAGAGGATAATATAGAATAGTCATTATTACTCAAAAAAGACATGCTGGTTCCATGTGGGTTGTCAAGGGTGTACTTTACGGTATGCTCACGATATATTAGGGCCTAAGGTGGCACAGGTGGCCTTGGAATTTGACAGGGCGAAAACACCTGAAAACTTTTGTCCATGGTGGCTGCCCATTGAATCTGCCCGCTTATCCCGTTTGAATCCGTTTGATGTTCCCCGTGGAGAGACGGAGGCGGCTTGAACAGAAAAAGTGTTTAATTACGGAGCTTGTTTTCGGGCAGATCGAAGCCATGTGTAACACTACAGGGCCCCGAAAAAGATGGAAAGATAATCCATCAAAATATATGTAGGACTAGGATGTACTATGATTTTGGGATGGGGATGGAAAAGACACGTTTTTTTTGTCTTAATGATTTCCGCAGCGGCCCTCTTCCCACGTTGAGGAAAATTCTTTGAGACGGAGAACGACGGTGGCCGGATCAACGAGTTCCTTGGTCGAAACTGCGGGGCCATGTGGGCACAGTCGGTTGGATTCGGCCAGTCTCGCCATGGAAATCCATGGACATCCATGGCTCCATCCCTAGCCGCTGAGGTTTCAGTTCGTGCGCATGTGCCGACAGATCCGTCCCTTGGTGCAGGGAGGATGGAGCATCAAGTGGGATCTTCCTCATCAATGTCAGGGCTAGTTTAGATATTTTTAGATCATCCCAAGAATCTGGGTATGTGCATTTTTTGGAAAATCACAAAGGTTGGGGGTGGTCTTTTCGTGCGGACTCCATGCAATCTGTCACATTCGCCTGATTTGTTTCGCAGCTTTGGAGATTTGCTGCGGCCACATGGTGTTTCCAACAGGGTCCAGGAACCGGCCGTTGGTTTCAGTTGAATTCCTATGATCTATGCATGCGGAACCATGAGTTCAAGAAATTACCTATTCCAACTTGAAAATCCAAAGGCTCCTCGGAACGGAAAACGATAGGCGACGTCCTAACTTACAAAGGAAAATACACATATCATATAATATCCTATAACATCCTATAACAATAACCAATAATATAGAGGCTGCTATAGAGGCTGCTTCATATAGCGGTTTTAGATCATTTTTTGGCCATTTGGCCGAGGCTTCCCAGCAGATCCAGTGCAAGTCTTCAGATACCTGGACGATGACAGCTCGGGCGAGCTGACCTTGGAGGAGTGCAGCATAGTGCAGCATAGTGCTGTAGGACACTGTAGGACACTGTAGGACACTGTAGGAGTTGGGAGAATCATCCCAAATGGCTTTTATCTATCGTATTCTTTCTTATCTATCCAAAAAAATAAGTTCAAATGCTTGAAATATAATTATTGCAATCTATCCAGATATGTGACAACAAGCTCACATAATTTGATTGTTAATAAGAGGCGGGGGTACCTCTATTTTGTTTAATTGCTGCAATCAATGCAATGCCAATCAATGAATGCCAAAGCCAATGTGCCAATAGGATCCAATAGGTAAATCAGGATAAATGACATTGAATTGGGATAATGACAAATGGATTATAGTGCATGGTATATGAAATCGGCCCCTCTTCCTTCCTCCCAAGAGAATTTTATTGACATGATCATGATGAGGTCTAGAAAAAAGTAATCACTTCGCTGGCCGACCTCACTGCACATGGTTCGAATATTGTTGGTGGAATCATCTCAGCAATGTCTTGGTGGAACATAATGATCCCGCATGACTTATATTTCGTTGGGGCTGGATGGGTCAATGAATTTTTGGGTGTTGATTCATCCCGTTTGTTGAGCTACTCTACAATCTTGGCCCAAGTACGTACTCGAAGGCCTGAACACTTAAAGCATGAAGAAATTCAGATTCTTCTGATCAAAGTACTGTTGAGTTTTCATGATTTGTTGGACGATGTCCCAAAAAAAACTGCTGTAGCCGCCATAACAATGTGTACAACTCGACCTCGGCGCAGGAGTTGGACCAGGAGGGAAATGACCTTTGGGCAAACTTTGTTGAATGGTGTGCGTTCCTTGGCACATCTTGGCACCAAAGGAACTTGGCATGAATTTGACATCCCTGCCCTCCCGGCAACGGGTGTTATCAAAAAAATGGGCAGGATAGTGAAGGGAAGCTAAGGATCAAGAAGGATTCCTTTATGTGTTACAAGTATATTTATAATACGTGAGTAACCCGCACGAAAAGACATATGTATTCTTTTTTAACCATCACATTTTCAGTAGCGCTGTTTGTTGGTTGATCGTCCCCACTGGTGACGCTGACTGATGAACCCTGATCACCTCACTTTGTGGGTTAAAAGTACATTAAAATTCCATATGCTACCCATTCAGCGTGGAGATCCCATAGTGGGGTATCCCATCTCAGTGGAGTATCCCGCTATCCCATAATGATTTTTGTAGCCATAGCTACGGCTGCCGAGGCAGATCTTTTCTGGAGCCACCGACTTTATCCAGAAGTTGCTCCCCAAAAATGGCGACAAAAAGCTGACCGTGGCGCATTTCGAAGAGGGGATTGCCACGTGTCCTACTTCATTACATACTTACCTGCAGGCAATAGCGATCAATAGCGACTAATGATGGTAAACCCAATGCCATAAATCTACCAGAGAGGGATGGCTTATTTTTATTTATTTTTTGAGTGTTTACCAAATTATGCATGTTTTTTCATGAATTGGTTTCGTTCACCCGATGTCCGCTTCAAGAGCACTTCTGGTTTGGATGGGATTGCCATGGATTGCCTGTAAGGGGTTGGTTCTCGACAACGCCTGCCAAGACCCTAGGCCCCAGACAGAATGATGGATACAATTTTACCCCTGGATGAATACCAATTACTTGCTTGAAGTCAATTTGCGGGGTATCCTTTGTGTCATGAGTTGCCAGATGTTTCCAGTCTATGTGCATTTGGCCAAATCTTAATTTTTAATGATCCTCATCCAATTCTTGGTTTGTGACAACCTGAGCATTGTCAAGCGGTATATGTGACGTTTTGATCCTCCAGACTTTCCGAAACATAGGCGTGAATGTAATGAACTCGCGTAGATATTTTTTGGCCACGTTTCGGCCGCCCAGCAATTGATTGCGAGCAAAAGGTAGGGCAATTGACAAACCCCACCTCAGGGGATGTTTGTCCGCTTCGTGTTGTTTGCAGTTACTCGCATCAACTTCTGTCTGCATTTGTCATTCCTTCTCATCATCCAAACAAGCCAATGATTTTGTATTTTGCTTGGATCTCATTCGGAAGATATACCATGATATACATTGAATTACATTGATATACCAGATCTGGAAAACGAAGCTACCTGATGCCACGCGTTTGTTCAGCCTGGACCCTAGGCGAAGTTCGGTTGGTCGCGTGGTTCGGAGTCGTTGCTGTTCAATGCCGTGAACCTCCGTGGTGACGACGCCATCGATGCGTCCGCAGATGCAAGGGTGGGACAAAGATGGACAAAGATGGACAAAGCTCAAATGGATAGTGCTATACCATCTGGGTAAATTATAACGACCTCACTGCGACCTCACTGGGAATAATGGTTAGTAAGGGAAATCATCCCCAAATGGCCTTAATTCAGGTTAGTGAATTATTATAATTTGCCCAGATACCATGCTATACCAAACTATGCCAGTCTATACCATGCTATACCAGGTTGGGAAGCGCACATCTTTTTGGGCGAGTGGAATGGACACATCCCCACTTGGTGAGTTATCAGCCCAGGTCGGATCTGAAATGGTTGGACGTGCAAGCCAAGAGGGCCAAGATCAAACGCCCCTGGATTTCGTTATTGCAGCATCTCAAACACCGCAAAGCCATTATATAATTACATTATATTTACATTATTATATATATATACACGTACATATACATATATATATATTCATATATATTCATATAATATAACAGATGGATACAAATGGCTAAATACAGAAACAAGAAACTCAAAGAGGCGGATTCTACTGGCACACGCTTGAGGAACTGCACGTCAACGAGCCTTGAAAGACAAGAAGAAACAGAACTTCGACACCAAGACGGTCGCGGTGACCATGGCAGATACTTGGACTCCATCCAGACTCTGTAAGTTTCTTGCGTAGCTTCTCCTGGTTTTGTCGAAGCCAAACGGAAGTTCCCTTAAACATCCTTAAACTAATCCAATAATGATTCCAATGATTCCAATGATTCCAATGATTCCAATGATTAGATGACTCTAGAAGTGCAGTTTCCCGCTCCAAGAGGGACACCGCATGAATCCGCCCTGCCAAGGAGTTCAAGAAGCATCTGAAGCGTCCGTGGGCCGTGAAATGGCCGTTACCTTGTTTTTTTTTGTCAATGTTCGTCTCTCAATATCTAATATCTCTTAATATTAGTAAGGCGGAAGGTCAAGTGGGCTAAGCTGATGCCAGAAACGTTGGGAAGTCAATCCATCGCTTCGGGGTGTTGATCCCTACTGAGCTAGTTCACCATGGTTAACCAAGGATCAAGAAGACCCTAGTGATTGGATGAGAAGGAGGGTGGTGCTCAAAAATAACTGCGATTTAATGAGGTGTCTTCCAATCATGTGGTTATCAAATGTTATCAACAAATCCATTGCTTAAAGCCGACGCTGTTGCGCTATGATTCAACTGGTGTTTGAATGTGTTTGATGCATCACAGCTTGGCTTGATCTTCCCAGCGAACGTACCAATAACAGTGCCAGCTCCAACCTCTATTGAAAGATAGACGCTATTGAAGATGATGAATGGTAACCACTATCAGCTATCAATTGACTATCACCCCCATGTCTTCACAACATTTCACAACCCATTTTTCTTGGGTCAACGACCTTCCCACGGTCCCAGCGGTGGAGTGGATCCCAGGTTCCTATGGCAACTTCCTACGTGCTTGGCGTCTGGGTCTGAGCCCCAACGACTCGGTGACCATTTCCAGGACCCAGTTTCTGACCGCCTGCAGCAACCTGGGCTTCAAAGACGCTGGGAAAGCGCCCTGGCCGAGTGATTTTTGGTGATTCTTGGGGGATCTTGGAGGATCATCCCGGTGAGGTTACTAACCAGCCAATCGGAACATCCACGCAATGGGGACCTACTAACATGGGTTAACCACGTTGAACCGCTAGGTGAGATGCTCCAGGAGGCAATAGGAGATAATAGGAGCATGGGAGCATCAACACACCTAATACATATTAATACATCTAGGATCATCTAGGCATGCCATGTACATCCATCATTGCGGCGCTTTTCCAGAATTTCCTGGCCGGATCTTGCCAGCTAACCCCTTCAGATTCGGATTCAAGGAGGGCATCACTCAATTCAAATTCAGCCCACACAGGAAGATTCCCAATGATCCCCCTGGATGGTTGGTTCAGCCATGTCAAGCCCTTTCTGGTTTTTCAAAATCCAACTTCTTGGTCATTTCTCCATATTTGTTCTCGGTGAATTCAATTCTCCATCCAATCCCTCGACGCGATTTTTTTTCCAAGATCCATTCAACAGAATCTTTCCCAGACATATATATATATATATAATTAAATATAATTAAATATATATATATATAAACATAATATTTCATATTTCCAGACAAACACATCAATAACATCAACAACTCCCAGTCCCACCGTGTCCCACCGTGTCCCACTGGCCGTGGCTACGAGGTTCTTTGGCGCGCCTTTGGGAAAGATGAGCTGAGTCCAGTGTCCTTGGACTTTTTGGATCCGGAGACCGCACAGGTGTCGTTTTTCTGGATCCGGGGATGGCTGTTGAAGATGTCCGGTGACATCAGTGATAGATGTGATAGTGATACCCCAATAAGGAATCATAAGGCTAGGGAATATCCCCCCCAAAATATGGCCTTATATGGTACAGTACCTCCATTTTAGGATCCTGAAATTCCCATTGGCTTAAGGATCCATAAGGAATCATAAGGATGTCTTTTGAGATTTTTCGATATTTGTTGGCATTTTGTTAGCTGTTGTTTAACGGGTTTTGCAGGGGAAGATTTGATACCACAGAAAAGCTTGACAAATCAGTGGCTGATCAACAGATGCTTATTCGTTTTTTGAGGAGGTCTGCTGTCCAAGCGTGTTTCGTTTGACCTGGTTACATCGTAGCAATTTCTCAAGGTCCTCAGCTTGTCTTCTACAAGGTGAGAACCCCAAATGATAAGCAAGTTGACATAGAACTTGGTTAACTACTGTTGAGTATGGGGATATAGATATAGAATAATATAGATGGATACTGAGATCTAACCTATATATGATATAATATAACTAACAGGTATTCATGATATGGGTTTATAGACCAACATACATAACATGCTATAACATACCTGGGGTGCCTCACCTTATAGTTATCATGATCAACCCAGTTGCGTTGAAACAAGAACTTGGGCAGGTGCTGGCTCACTTTCAACGTATGGTGCAGGGGCTTGGGGGCGTGCAGGCCGGGGGGGTGGTGGTTGGCCAGGCGTGTTTGAACATGGGGGATACCCTCTGGTAATTTAACATAGCTATTGAAAATGGCCATTTATAGTGGATTTTCCTCTTGAAAATGGTGATTTTCCATAGTTATGTTAGTTTACCAGAGGGTAATGATGATAGACCATGGGTGGTTGGGATGAAAAACGCCACACCACCTTTCAGACCTAGTCTTTGGCAAACGTTGCGCTACCTGGGCATCATCAGCCTGAACTCGTGTATAACGGTTTCTCCGTCGGCTGCTAGGAGCCCAGTCAAGAGCATGTTTCAGGTTCACGCTGGTTTAGCTTGCCCACCAGGGCCCCCAACGTGATGGAACTAAGGAGGGCCCTAACCAAATATATAAATGATGTTTCGATCATGAGCCTCCCAAAAAATGATTATGCCATGAGTGGAAAGGATCCAGTATCCCTTCACAACCCCTGAAAACCAATTTTGAACCTGATGATTTACAAAAGAGGCACCCCCAAATCAGCCTATTTGATGAGGTTCCCCATGCTCCAGATCCGTACCAGGCAGCCTGGAGAGTCTTCGACAAGAAAGCTGTGAAGCGAGTGAAGCAGCCCGAGTTTCTGGAGGCGATGATGCTCGGCTGAGTGACACCCAGGGTCAAGGCAAGGCTCCTGGAAATTCTTCAAAACATGAGTACCATACCTGGTTGGTTGATGTTGGTTGAAGTAGTTGAAGTAATATCGGTTACTTCTAACATTTTTTTAAATCCATTTCAGGGTCCGACAGGAATCGTTTTGGTGATGTTTTGCCCGTTAGAATTGGTGATTTCTCATTGCCAGATCATGGCCAGCCGCAATCCAAATGTCCACCTGACACTTTTGAAACTTAGCTGTAGCTGCTGGGTTCAATTGGCATTTTCATTGCCAAGAATTCGGATACCCTCCGGTAAGCAAACATTGGCAGTAGACAATTCCCCATTATATAATATAAGATAATATTATAATATATATATATATGTGTGTGTGTGCGTGTGTAATCTATCTGTCTATGTATCTATATATCATTATATATCTATATATCTATGTATCTATCTATGTCTATCTATCTATCTACCTATCTACCTACCTATCTACCTATCTACCTATCTATCTACCTATCTACCTATCTATCTATCCATCTATCCTATCTTATCTTATCTTATCTTCTCTATTCTTATCTAATCTTATCTAATATTATCCATTTTCTAATATTTTCTAATCTTATCTAATCGATTCTAATCGTATCTAATCTTATCTATATCATATCTTTTCTAATTTTATCTAATCTTATCTAATCTTCTCTACCTAAGATTTTCCATATGTTTCCATTTTAATTCAGATCAGTATTTTCTATGTTTGAATAGCGGAGGAAAAATACACCGGGATGATCAGCATAGACCGCTGAGGAAGACGTTGGACCCTTCCCTGCCTGCAAAACAGCTGTTCAATGGCTACTGAGCAGCACAGAGAAATCCCATTTCCCACGAAATAACCCGAAATCAGGTACCCAAAAGTTATATAAATAAAATGAAGAAATCAACTACTACGCCGGGATAAAATCAGGGTTCCTTTGGGGGGCCTTTAACATTAGGGGAACGGATTACCATGTGAAGAACTCATTTGCCGAACGGTGGAAACCCATAAGCATGAAGATTTGCAGAGGGTTCTTTGTTATGACATTTTTGATTTTCTACTTCCACATTTGGTTGCCAGCTGGCAGACTTGACAACCCCAGAAGTTGAATGACGAATTTCAACGCACGATGTGGCTGTTTGGTAAGTATTTCAAGTTATTTTGGCAAGAAGATACTTGGAGAGTCTTGCTATGTCTTGCTGGAGCCTCCTTGCAGTCAATTACTAGACATAATATGACATAATCTTTTTGGTCATTATTTGGACAATTTTGGACATATCATCACTGGTAATTACTGAACTTTCACTTTCATGTCCTGCTTCCAAAAGCCCACTGTTGGGCAATTCGGCGCATCCCGCTCCGCAAAGGCTTGGATACAGACGGCGATGGTCGACTGGCGGTGGATGACTTCAAATTCTTGGAGAAATGGCATCACGGTTGCAGAACTGAGTCAGTTGTCTGACCCAAATTCGATCCTTAAATGACCCAAATGGGTTGGGGCCAAATTGCCCAATGTTCCATCTTTAGATGTCGCCATTTCAGGAACAAGGATGAGATAAACTCATATAAATTCCAAATTGCCCGATGTTTGACCCATTTGCTGCTATGCTTGAGATATCTTTAGATCATTTAGATCTATTCTCCATTCTCCATCGCAACTTAGAAAGTAGTTTTGTGGGTCATCCCATTCTGGATGGTAGTCTTTGGATGTTTTCCCACCCAACCTTTGGATATCCAATGATATCCATCCATTCTCACGGATGTTTATCCCTTGAGGAAACTTCCAGAGTTCCTCACAGCGAAGCCCAGTGAAGAGGCAAAGGAGGAGGTGAAGAAACAACTTTTACAGGTGCGAACCACCTGATTTGGAGGTTCTCTGCATTGAATAGCCCCATGATATATAGATATGATAGCCCATGATACCCCCTGAACCATTGGGGAAAAAATGGGAATTTGATGGGAAGTAATGACATGTTTTTTCTTGTTTAATGTCCTCAAGTTGAAAAATACCAACTTTGGGGTATGAGGAGGACGTCATATTTGCCAGAGCCACAAGTCATAGCAAGTTGTAGTGAAACATCCTATGATTCAATATGTTCAAATGACAATAGTTGGGTTGCTTACCCATGCTTACCCACCATAATACCATTACTTACCATATAGTGTTTCATAGTTACCAATAGTCACCAACTGGTGCAGGATGGCTTGTCCATGAACAGCATGTTGAAGTCTCAGTCCCAAAGACTTTGGCAAGACCCCCGCGCTTGGATTTCGATTCCCGATAGGTCTTTCTTGTATTTGATTTGATCTTACCCTCCGCACGATTATTGACAAAGCTAGGGAAAATTCCAGATTCAGTTCAATGATTTTCCTGTTATTTCCATGGTGTTTTTCGCTATGTTGAGTTCCAGGTCTACAAGAGCTACTTGAAAGCCTGGCGCTTGGTTCTTGACGCGAACAATTTGAACCGCTGCACGTGGCCCGAGTTCCAAGCAGCCTGTCGCAAGATCGGATGCTTGGACCATGTGATGGAAGCTGGTGAAGCGGGTATTTGATGGCTTTGAACAGTGAGTTTCAGGGGAGAAACATGGAACAACTGCAAGAAACATTTAGAGTTTGGATGGTTGGTGAGGCCGCCATGTTGTCGTTCGATCAAAAAAAAAGTTTTGCATCCACTGTTCGAAGGGTTGCACCAAAAGCACTCGGCTGGATCCATGTTTGAGAATCACTTATTGCATCTAAAGGTGTAGATATATATATATATATATGTATGTAATGTAATGTAATGTAATGTAATGTAATGTAATGTAATGTAATGGTATGTATGTAATGTATGTATGTATGTAATGTAATGTAATGTAATGTAATGTAATGTAATGTAATGTAATGTATGTATGTATGTATGCATGCATGCATGCATGCATGCATGTATGGATGTATGTGTGTATGTATGTGTGTATGTATGTGTGTATGTATGTATGTATGTAATGTAATGTAATGTAATGTAATGTAATGTAATGTAATGTTATGTAATGTAATGTAATGTAATGTAATGTATGTATGTATGTAATGTAATGGTATGTAATGTAATGGTATGTCCCTGTACGGTAGGTTACTGTCCTGTCTTTACTGTAATGTACTGTCCTGTCCTGTCCTGTCCTGTATGTATGTCATGTCATGTATGTATGTCCTTATTTATGTATTCTGTCTGTCCTGCTCTGTCCTGTCCTTTCTGTCTGTCCTTTCTGTCCTGTCTGTCCTGTCCTGTCTGTCCTTATGTCTGTGCATGTATGGCTGTCTGCCGTAGGTCTGTCTGTCTGTACCTGTCCTGGCTGTCTTCCTGTCTGTCTTTCTGTCCTGTCTGTCTGTCCTCGTCTGTTGTCTGTCCTGTCCTGGCTGTCCTGTCCTGTCTTTCCTCCTGTCCTGTCCTTTCTGTCTGTCCTTCCTTCTGTCCGTCTGGCTGCTGGTTCGGTCCTGTCTGTCTGGACGGTTGTTCCTGTCCTGTCTGTCCTGTCTGTCCTGTCTGTCCGGTCTGTCCTGTCTGTCCCGTCTGTCCCGTCTGTCCCGTCTGTCCCGTCTGTCCCGTCTGTCCCGTCTGTCCCGTCTGTCCCGTCTGTCCCGTCTGTCCTGTCTGTCCTGTCTGTCCTGTCTGTCCTGTCTGTCCCGTCTGTCCCGTCTGTCCTGTCTGTCCTGTCTGTCCCGTCTGTCCCGTCTGTCCTGTCTGTCCTGTCTGTCCTGTCTGTCCTGTCTGTCCTGTCTGTCCTGTCTGTCCTGTCTGTCCTGTCTGTCCTGTCTGTCCTGTCTGTCTGTCCTGTCTGTCCGTCCTGTCTGTCCGTCTTGTCTGTCTGTCTTGTCTGTCTGTCTTGTCTGTCTGTCTTGTCTGTCTGTCTTGTCTGTCTGTCTTGTCTGTCTGTCTTGTCTGTCTGTCTTGTCTGTCTGTCTGGTCTGTCTGTCTTGTCTGTCTGTCTTGTCTGTCTGTTTTGTCTGTCTGTCTTGTCTGTCTGTCTTGTCTGCCTGCCTTGTCTGTTTGTTTTGTCTGTCTTGTCTGTCTGTCTTGTCTCTCTGTCTTGTCTGTCTGTCTGGTCTGTCTGTCTGGTCTGTCTGTCTGTTCTGTCTGTCTGTTCTGTCTGTCTGGTCTGTCTGTCTGGTCTGTCTGTCTGGTCTGTCTGTCTGACCTGTCTTTTTGTTCTGTCTTTGTGTTCTGTCTGTCTGGTCTGTCTGTCTGGTCTGTCTGTCTG